TGATCCAGGAAACACAAAGAGCGAACTCAAAGCTAAAACATCAGAAACATATCATAATGCTGTTACATTCTTATGCTAGATATTATTCCATTTATATGTGAGATTTGTGTGAGGAAAAACTGCCATTTGAGGATCAACTCTCTACAGGAACCATTAAAAACCACCAGATCATTGTAATAATTTTCTCTTTGAATGCACTGTGCTGCTGGCAGAGTCTTCCAGTAGATTCTTCCAGTGACACCAGTGACAGTGAGACTGTGCTCTGGTGCTGAAGGGCTGGACTGAACCCTGCCCAGTGAAGACAATGGTTCCATTCACACAAACAGCTATGGCTTGCTAGGCACTCCCTGTCTTTTCCAGGACTGTTAATGGCAGGTACATAATAATAGAAATTTCAAATATCCTTTTTGAAGCATAAAGCATGAACCATAAACACACACACACACTCACACACACATGCACGCATACATACAAATAATCATTTAATAGAATTCATTGATTTAGCATGAAGAGAAAAACCTGATCTGGGTTATTAATTGATAGAGTTCACTTTGAAAGGGGAATTCAAACTGTACTGTCATACTGTATTTCATATGGTAATATATATCACTTGTTACAATCTCTGAGTTAGCTGTAAACATGGTCAGTGGGATGGAATATGATGGATGAGATAAGATGTTTTGAATATTTATAATTCAAACAGTAAAGAAATTCAAATTTGTTGTCCCTGTTAGAGAACATTAGAGCTGTCATTTCTGTTATATTAAAGCCATTCAAAAAGAGAATCTATTAATTCCTTTTTCTGATTTTAACTCAAGAAATATTTCCCTCATCTCTAAGATGCTGGCCATGCTGTCAGTCAAGTACCCAGGCAGTTGTGTTGGATGATGAGTTGTGCTGTTCCTGCACTCACCTCCATTCTTCCCTCATCTTCCTCCTCAGCTGAGCGGGGCTAACAGCTGGGTAGCCCTGTCCTGGCAGAAGAAACAAAGGGTTCTCATTCCTTTTCCTTTGTTTTTATTACTGCTTAATGGAAATATACTAAGGCTGATGAAGTCCTTTATGATACTAAGTGGCTACTGACTTATGCAAAGACAATGAATGAAGGAAATGTGTGTTTTGAATAAGTTAATGTGTAAGTGGCCCTTGAACTCAGGAGAACAGGCTCTATTTTACATGCTGGGTTTTCCATCAAAGAGGTTGGAATCACAAAGCATTTGGGAAGGGGAGCAGAGAGAAGGATTGTGGGGTGCTTTACCCAGAGCACATGAAACAACCAAATTATCAGATGTGTTTTAAAAGAAAATTCTAGGGAATGAGAGTGGTTCTATTTTGAAGATTGGAAGCAGGCATTGCTCTCCCACCACTTTCAAAGCAACAGTGTTGAAGGTGATTTTGACTGTTTAAATATAGGAGGTGTAAATTGAGAGTACCGTCTGCCATGCTATGGTAGTATTCAGCTGAGAGGAAGTTCTTGGGGTTCATTTTCACTGATCCCACATTAAAGAAACAGCCAACTCAGTTACTGAACCCTAGGTCTATATGACATTCCCTATAATTTCCTTAAGCCTGCACCTGCACTGTCTCTGACTAAGCAGAAATTTGGCACATCACAGGCTTTGACCTCAGAACCAGTACAAAGAATGTACTAGATTGTCTCTTTTTCTATGTATACAGCTCCCATCAAATCACTTCACAGATATCAGTGTCTACAGTAATTATAAAAGTGCTGTCTCCAAATGACATGCAGCTTATTTACTTCACAATAAGTCTCATCATTTTTATCTTCAAACTTTGTCATAAATTAGATCATTTTCTGTGGGAGAAATTACTAGTGACAAATGCAACATGTAATACAATTGTTTAATCTGTTTTCCAAAAGTGAGCTCAAGTTGCTCACATATTATTCATGCATATTTGTAAATGGATTGAATTATTTTTCTTCTGAGGTTATTTGTTTGTTTACACTTATTTATAATGAATTCCCTTCCACCCATCTGTCACCTGAAAGGAACCTCAAAATAAGTGCTTTCTATGACTTTGAGATCCTTTTGTAATGCCAGAGTGGTGAATAGAGGCCTTAAGGTAAATGACACAAAAGTGCTACCTCTATTTGCCGTTCATCATTCACTATTTCTTATTTGTATTGTGTGACTTGTCAAATGCATTGTTTCTTTTCAATGAATGAGGAATTAGAAGGTTTGAAGCAGGAGAATAACAAAGGTGTTGAGTAAATAAAGCACTTCTCTTTTGTCACTCATCCTGAACAGGAGGTAGAAATTGGCATGTTCAAAGTAAGTGCTAAACCAGAAAGGAGCAGCAGGGTAGCCCATACAAGAAAGCAGAAATTGAGATGTACTTTACATCAACTCCTGAACGACTAGTGATGAGGAAAACTGTGCCCAACATTTGGGATAAATGAGAGACAGAACTGAAGTAATCAGGAATGAATGAGTCCCATAATTACCATGGTTAACAAACCATTCTCTTCTCTTTCTCCCTTGGTCATACATTTTAAGTGAAAAGCTGGAAATCTGGAACCAGAGGAGAGTGAGGTTTGCACTGTACTGGGAGAAAAGAAGATACATTCTCATTCCTTGCCCCTATTGAAATGAAAATGGATCCTTAACACTGCACTGATGACAATCGTGCTTAAAAGAGAAAATTTGAATAGCTCTACTGCTTTCATTATGGCATTTTTTTCTCGTATGTTGAGAAAAAAATATCCTTAAGTAGAACTCAAAACTAAAAGCTTAAACCTCAAAATGCCTCTTTCTGCTAAAACATCTTAAAAGTGTTTGCCATTTGTAAAACAAAAAGACATTTGAAAAGATTTCCAACAAAAAAAAAATCAATGACTTCAAACATTAAAAATTCCTATTTCTTTTTTTCACTTTTCCAGGAAAGTAATTTCAGGTTTAAGTTGTACCCAAAAGGCTTGCAGTTCTATCAAAAGAAGAGGAAGCTACAGTGAAGAGATAAAATTTTTGACCATTCTGTAATACTATATAATAGATTATTTTATAGAACTTTTATGAGATAACACAGTCTACTTCACAGCAGCTGTAGTTTCATAATAGACACTGACATAAGGCCTTCAAACACCATACTACTACAGAGTTCTTGGAAGATACCAATGACCATCACTACTCTTCACTTTAGAGGACTTGTTGACTTTTTGTCTCATTCTTTTTTGGCTGTTATCTCAAAGGTCATCAAAATACTTTTGGAACTCATGGTGCATAGCAACATTTCTGATAAACACAGATTCCTTAAGAACACCCATACATAGTTTTCAAGTAGCAAATAATAAATTACCTGCCGCAACAAAATACCTGATAAAGTGAGTTTTCTTCAGTGGATTTAAATAGGAAGAGAGTGGAATTATCCAGTTCTAGTCTGAACTAATTATGTCTAAATTATAACAAAATCACCACAATCATGCATTGTACTATTTTATTTTGTGCTAAAATCATAGTAAGTTCAACACTCTTAGCACAAACATCTACTGATACCACTCTCAAAATACCTAGGTGGATGGCTTTAACTCTTTGATCCCACATTTGCAGTATGATGTTAAAAGGCTATAATGTTATCAGCTCACTCTCCCCACACCAGTCTTGTAAAAAAAAAAAAAACAGACAGAAATAAAGTAGTCACTTTCAGCCCCTGTTCTACAGTGGTGTCCAAGCATTTTTGTAGCAACCAAAGTAAAATCAGGCTTTTTTTTCTATTACAGAATGAGTTTTTTGTGTCCTTACTAATGCAATTTTCCCTTTATTTCACATCCTAAGCTCATGACTCATGCCAGTTGGGATTTTCATCTCTGCAGCTGTGCTTGCATTAATTTTATCTTCTAAGATGAGCTAGCTGAGGTAACAACCCTTTGATTTGGAACCTCCATATTACAAGAAAGAGTATTCTGATGGTCTCAAATGTAGTTCTGCATCTCCCCTTCATAAATGTCAGTGTTGTAGGGTCTGCAGAAATTAATCCAAAAAAATGCTTTACTCTGGTGTTTCAGCATAGGAACATTCAGCTACTTGAGCACTTGTAACTTGATCTAGGTAGCTTCACAATCACTCACTTCAAAAAGAGTAGTTTGAGGCCTGTGTGTGAATTCCCACCAAGGGCCTGCCTGCAATGAATGAGAGATTTAGAGCTTGTGTCTGCTGCAACAAATTTTTGGACAAGCCACTATACATCTGTCCAATTCAATTTCAGTATGCTGGTGAAAATAGCTAAGAAATTTGGGATCTCAAGCATTAAAATGATTCAAAAACTGAGAATTATTCATATGCAAAAATGCTCACAGGAGACTCCAAGACAATGAAGAGCGGGCAGGTTCCTCACCCTGCCACATTTTGTTGCACCAAAAGGAGATGTATCTCCTTCCTGGAACAGAGAGTCTCTTTCCTCCATCTCTGGCAATGATGTAATGTGGAATCATAATGTCTTGGCCATGCCCCTCCCGCTGATCTGGGTCAGAACCATGACACCCTCCTTCTTCTTTCGTAGCTTTTATTGCTGACTAGATCCCATATGATAGGAAATATCCTTTTGGTCAGGTTAGGTCAGCTGTTCAGGCTATGTCCCTTCTCAAGATCTTGCCAGCTGCTGAGGGGGAAGGAGTTTTGGTGAGACAGCACTGATGCTGTGCCAGCATTGCTCATGGTACCCAAAACAATGGTGTGCTGTCAATACTTTCCTAGGAAAGCAAAGCACTGTGAGGAAAATAAATTCAGTTTCAGCCAGAATCAATACACTGATTCAGAAGGATCATTGGGTGGTAAAAATTCTAATACTGAAAAAACCCCAAAACCATAGTGAGGGCTTAAAGAACCACACACACATACACACACACACATGAATGGAAAAACAATTCAGAATAAATAGCTGTTGTGATAGAGCTACAATAAAATAACAGTTTAGACTATTGGCTTTTTTAAAGTCATTTTAATGAAATTGGATTAGAAGGATGAGGTATTAAAATTTTCTGTGCAAACAGTTATTCTCTATTGTTTATACAGACCACAATGAATGTCAGAAGTCACTCTGAAAAATGAGTAAAACTCATTTCAGAAGCAAATAAAACTGACATTTAGACCTGTGATATGAGGTGAAGAGAACTATTGTTTGTTGCCTCCAGACCAAAGAAAATCCCTAATTCCAGGTGAATAAGTGGTCAGACTTCTACTTAGTATCCCTGCGCTGAAATGAAATAATCATGGAGGTATAGCTGAAGGAGTGGCTATACAATAATAAAGAACATATACCCATCAAATTAAACAAAAGCACAATATTTATTCAGCATATCTATTTCTAGAAAAATGATTGTTCTTGGAACTGAAATGTCAGCTCTGAAGAATAAGGCTTTCATATTTTCAAACTTTCACAAGTAGCAGGATCAGTGCCTATATAGGCCAGATTTGCTGACAAACACTTTTAGAGTTAAATTTATTTTCTTTTGCTATAAAGGTCTACTTGACCAGTGCATAAGACAGAACAGCAGATAGATTTATACATGTAAACACACACAAAAGAATCTTGTTCCAGTGAGAACCACAGCTCACATAGTAAATAAACTTGGTGTTCTTTGCTAAAATTGTTATTTAGAAGGGAATAATTAGCAGTTATTAAAAGCATTGTTCGCTCTGTGCTGGAAGAGATGTAAATTCAGGCAAGAGTTTTTTGAGCTTTCCGCATTTGCCCCAAAATGCTTTTGGGCTGACCTGGAAAGTATTTTAGCCTCCTTCCTTGGCCTGTTCTCTTCTGAGGGTGCCAGTTGGGGCACCAATTAGTGTCTTTTTGGCAGTGCTTGCATGTGACTTGCACGCTTCTCTAGGAGGCTTGGGGCTGCCATGGAAGAAAAGGGTTTAACAAGGATAGAGAAAGAAGCCTAATGGAATTCAAGTGGCTTCTTTTAAATGTCAGCAGCTCAGCTAGGGGTGACCCATGAGGATGTCTATGATAAGCACCTGTCATGGTTTTTACTACCCTACAGCTAATTACCAAAGCTTAGATTTCTATTTCTACAGATTCCAGATTACGAACACTGCTTTTCATTTACCCATGTATATTCTCCTTTCAGCACTATAAATATACTTCTATGCCAAATAGGGAAAAACACAGCTGAAAACAGTGTGAGGAACACCTTTCCTTTTTATCTCACTCCATTTACTTCCCACCTCTAAACTTAGTATTTTTCCTGAAAGAGGACAGGAGGATGATTTTTTTGCTGAAATTGAATTCAGTGTCTTCATTGCACAATTTAATTACTATTCCCATGATTTAACAGAGACAGGATGCATAAAACTGATTTATTACATTATTATTCTGTTGCAGTTATAAAAGATGTGGGTATATTCCTGAAAATTTAAGGTAAGTGTGGATATCAACTCCTTTACTGAGCGTGCCAAACAGAGAGCTTTTGTTTCAGCAGTGAAATGCTATTCAATGATAGTACATCCTACCCTAGTGTTCTACCCAGCCTGTGATATTTTGCCATAATAATTCCAGCCTGTTATTTGCAGCACAGTGTTGATGGAGTTAAAGCTAATACAAGACCTGCACATTAAATTATTAACTCTTGATGAAAGCATGATGCAACAGATTAATAAAAGTGTAGGGGTAGCAGGCCAAGAAGTTGGTGGTCTCAGCCACGTTGCTGATTCATAAGTTTCCACAGTAAATAACACCACCAGCAGCAACTCTGTTGCAAACCCTACCTGAGATGAAAAAGATTTAATAAATGTGTGGAAAGTTACCCTGAGAGTAGGATCAAGCACTATTTTCAAGGACTTAGAGGGCGGAATTCTCCACTACTGTTGTTATCCTGTAAATATAGGAAGGGTTGGAGTCTGAAGCCATCTTGGCATTTTTCCTGCACCTTCCCTGAGTTTTGAACTGAGCTTATTTATTTTTAAATCATATATATAGCTAAGATTTACCTTCAGAACATTTTACTTGTACTTTATGAACATAAAAGAGACAAGAGATGGCAAGTTATTCTGTCTTGATAAAATTAAGAGTAGTAGTGAAGAAACTGTGAAATAAGAAGGGAGCAAAAGTTTTCAAGAAACAAAAATCATCAAAAAAGTGGGTAATTTATACAATTTTAATTGTTAGAAGTGTACTAAAAAAGTAGAGTATGAGGGATGGAAATGTGTAAAAGTTATCAGAAATATAAAGTTTAAAAGTTATCAGGCAAAAAAAGAAACATATAAAAGTTAGCAGAAGATTTAGAATAGCATATCTATGTTAATCCAGTAGAATGTTTAAGAGCTATTTAGTTTCTCAATCTTTTATAATTATTGGAATTATTTATATAGTTAGAGAGGTATGCCAGCACTATCTGTCTACAGACATAATCACCTGAAATAGTAACTGACAAGAGGTTTAAAAGGCAGAAAATGTATAAAAAGGTAGAAAAAAAATTGTGAACTTTCCAATTGTATTTCCAAGGCACTATTCTCTTATTAGAGATATGCTGATGCTTAAATTCTTCCTGGCAACTGCATAGCATGAAAGATTCAACATTGCTCAGGACTGCAAAACTGTAAAACTTCCAAAATTGGTTTTACAACTGACATACAATATGGATTCACAGCTAATCACTTACTATTACAGAAAGCACAAAAAGTAAAATCAGATGGAGTTCTTCCAGTTCTTGCCTATGCAATGGGCTGCTCAGGTAAACCAGATTAGCCTGCCTTGTCTAAAGCCATTTTGGTTCAAAGCTGTGATGGATGGGGACATATTATGGACCAGTTTATTGTCCATCTGTGATTATTAATGATAAAGGCATAGTAAGTAAATTACTCATGCTGTGAAAATGGCCTTGGTAATGGCAATTGCCTCCAATTAAATGGAAGTACTAAGATTATAATTCTGAGAATAACTAATTTTCATTTTTCTGGTCATATAAGCACATTACTTCTGTAAAGAAAAATTAAAATTTTTCCAAAAAAAAGGAAGACATTTTTATTTGCCTAAGAAGAAAAATAAATGTCGAACAAAATAGCTTTGTGTCTTCATGATATTTCACCTCCTTTTTCTTCATTAATATTTTATGGACTTGCCCCTGGAATATTTTATTTTAAAAATACTAGAATTCAAATGCTCTTGAACATTTTTCTAAATCTTGTCAAAACTATTAGAAAATTTCATTTAGAAAGAAAAGGATCTCAAATCTTGAAGGACAAGCATCCCAAGCTTAACAGTTCCTATAGTTATTGTCCCTCATCGTGGGAGACTTCAGATGATCTCTCTGTACTATTTCATCAAGTTTGATCCTATGGTATCTGTAACTGCATCCTAAAATGTCTGGGCTATTGAATGCTACCCCCTGTGCTGTTGTGAAATTTAAATGTATTCTGTAATGCTGTTGGTCTTTCACCAGTATGTCCTCATTAAATGTTCCTTGCACCTGTGCACAACATATAGATGGATGTAGAAAACTTCCTAAGAGTAACACCAAAAACCCCCCTGAGCTGAGACACACTTGCTTTCTAAGCTGTTATTGATCAAACAATAGCTTGAAGTGAGATAAAAGAGTGTGGAGAAAGATCTACTGGATGGCAGGGAATTATTTCACCTCTAAGGTGCTGCTTTCCATGACAGCAACAAACCTGTTTTGCAAAAAACACTTTTAAAAACTCAAGATTATACAAACCCGTAAGTATCATTTGAAGGAGAAATTCTGATTCTACCTTTCTTTCCAATATTCCACTCTTAGCTTCTCATCTCTAAAGCACTCAATTCTGGACTGTGCAGAAGGGAGCCACTGTCACTAGGAGGTCCGTCTCTGTCAGGGGTACATAGAGTGGAGCTGTGAACAGATCAGAATAAGCAGGGAATGCAGTAGCCTACAACAGAGACCCCTGAGGTTCTGAATGTAAACCAAGGAAAGCCACCTGTGTGGCATTCATAAGTTAACATACTAGGGTTATTGGTTTGCGCTCATTTTAGCACTCATTTTAGCCCTGGTTTGCAACCACAAAGAGTTACTCTTTCAAAGAGAACTCAGTCCTGTTTTCCTTTGTGTGCAAGTGCAAAATGTCACATGCAAATAGATATATAAAGTAGTTTTTGATCACCCGAGTAGGCTTTGGCACATATATATATATATATATATATATATATTTTGTCACTAGTGCAAGCAGATGTCAATGCACAAAATTTACACAGGGCAGAGCTCTGGGGCTCTGGGGTTTTGCCCTTCTCTCAGACAGATGACTCACAAAAAGATATTTTTGAGTACATTTTGGATTTTGTCTAAATGTGTGCCTGGGCAGTATTTTACAGTGACATGCAAGCTTACCCTTTTTCTTTTCCCCCTCCAAGCAAATATAAGCTCATTCTGCAATATTGCAATCTGGCCAGACAACATGCAGCCTGTTCACATGGGTCTGAGCCTAAACCAACATAAATTCCGAACAGGATCTGAGAGCTCACAACCAACACCAGGCCAGCAGGATCTGCTCAATTGCAAGGTTACAGCTGGCACCCATTTGATCCACACAGAGCTCACACAGTCAAAGCCTCACAAACATCATGTTGGCAGAGCCTGAGAGACTCAGATGGCAATTGAATGATGTAGCCAATTCATCTCTCAGGTAGCTAATACCAGATAAAAAATGCTGCAGTCACATGACAGAAAACACTTCTCCCTCACTCTGTCAGCTGTGTGAGTATAAACTCACTTTGTCATCTTGTAGTTCAAAACACTTGGGTACATTCTGGCAGGCTTTTTGCTGGATCATAGGACTTCTGCCTTACCACAGTAACAGTAAAATTGATATAAAAACATAAAAATGGCAAACACTGACTTTCATATCCTTTGAGTAATCTGTCGAAACAAGTCTAAGTTCAATTCTGAGTTGGTCCAAATTTCTGATATTGGACAATCCAACACAATCCACTGTACAGTATTAAAGACTGCAGAGCCTTGCTTTACTCTCAGGGTGAGATTTTTAAAAAGGGTCTCAGTGTTCTGCTAATTCTTCACCAAATGAAGTCAATAGAAATTTTACTACTAAAATCACACCAGATAACTTTTACAAATTCTCATCTTGCCTCTTATATATTAGATTCAAACCCCATGCAAAACTAAAGGTTCTATAAAAAGCTGCATTTTACACAATAAGCAACAAACTTGAATATAATCAAAGAGCTCAACTGACAGAAAAATGCATTAACTTTTTGAAATACACTTCAATTTATTCCTTATTTTCTACATTTAATGTAATAGAGTGAGCCTATACAGCAGGTAAGATAGCTGACCACCAGTAGCAGAGCTCACTTCACTGGTTTAGAGAACTCTGTTCCCCAAACATTGCATTGAGAGAGCTAGGTCCCTCAAAATTACGTCTACAACAACTGGCACAGGTCTGTAGAGACATCTATACTAAAATGAAGGGGACTTAGATGAAAGAGCACTTCTTAAATCCAGTTCATCTCTGGGACTTCCTTCCTTTATTGCAAGACAGCCTTTCATCTTGTGGAAGCTAGCACCAAACCTAGTGAAAGTGATTCTTCCTTCCAAGAAGGTGGTGACAGTGCAGTGTCCTTCCCTGACATGTGATAGTTCAGTGGCTAGTGTGTGAAGTCAGGGACTAATGAATTCAGCCTCTTCCACTGTCTGAGAAGTCTAAGACCTCACCTCACCCCTGCACAGGCTATCCTGGTGTGAAGGAGACACTTTCGGATAATTTTGGTTCAGTCTGGAAGAATACATGAATATTCTCCGGTAGTTGGAAGCAGGCTAGTGGTGAATGAGCACAAAGTGCCACTGTCTGCATAAAGGCCTCTCTGAGAAGCAAAGTCCCAAGTTATACTTCCTCCTGCATTTACATTTTCTGGTTTTGTATATTGTCCATTCTGCACTAAACAGCATCTGAAAAGAATCACCAATTACACAGATGTTTTTAAACGTACTCATTTTTCCTTCTCTGGTCTCAGTTTAGTAAATCTGTCACCACAGTTTGTAAGTGTTCATTCTATTTCTGTAGTTTCATTCTCTCTATTGATGTCCTTTTTCACACATGCATAGTAATCTTTTGACAAATGCACACCGGCAGTTAATCTACAAATATTTTCTCTGGGAAAAAATTATGAAGAATATCTCTCTCCTTTCAGAAGGATTTTTTCTTGCTTTTCTTTTCTTTAGGTATGCACATGGATCTCTTTCACAGTTTTTCAAAATCCTATTTGCTTTCCAATATAATGTCATGGGCTTGATTGTATCTTGCAGCATCAAAGCCTACAAAGCAGGTTACAGGGGAAAAGGATTTGCCTTCTTGGAATGCTTCCCAGAAGGCAAAACAAAATTCTCATATCCACTGTCTGCTTTTCTAAATTTCCTACTTGCCATCATTAAATGAGTCAGTGTCAGGATGTAAATGAGATCCTGTGAATCTAGCTACTGAATCTGAAAAACAAACAAACAACAAACAAAAAAGAAAGCATATATAACAGAATATACCTTTTTTGAGTATTCTAAATGCATGTAGCAATTTTTATTTTTGATAAATTAAGATGGAGATAATAAGGCATATACATTAGCTATACTAAGTGGACAATCTCTTTGAAGGTTTATTGTACCCTTACAGTGGGTCCCCATTAACTTCTCAGTTAGGTTTATGAGCACATCATCAAGTGCATAGCCTTCATGGAGCTGCCTCTGAGCACTCCATTCCTGTTACAGGAAGTCAAATGATGGGGTGTACCAAAGAAAATAAACTTTGTGAGTTTCAGTCTTTAATGCAGGACCAAAGGCTAGAGCACGTGTGAAGCAAAACCTTGCCTAAACAAAACCCTGTGTTAAACTTCCATTGTGAACACCAGGATTACCCCACTCGCTCGCTCTTTTAACACCCTTACTGTGCTGCAGAGCTTTATAGAGGGACATGACATTATGAATCTCTGAATCTCCTCCAGAAGAACCCTTCTTTCTCCTCTGAAGACAAATGAATGAGCCATCTGAGGCAACTGACTCAACTATTGGAGACTTGTTGAAGCAAGTGTATCTCCAGTCATTGCCAAGTCCCACTCATACCACATCAGATTTTACAGCAATAGATGGGAAAGTGGTGTTTAAATACAAGACCTGACAAAAGAAATCCGCTCAAAACAGATGAATCTACACTATTACACTCATGAACAAATAATTAAATTATTCATCTCAAGATAAATGGAGGTTTCACTTCTTGTTATACTGTATGCAGTTATCCGCCAGAATGCACCGCACGGAAAGCACCTGCTGGAAATAATACTGATGACTTTTTATTTTTAAGGCAAGCTAATTTTATAATCAGTAGTAGTAATTTATTTTATTAGTTAAACAATGTTAATATTGTGAAATTATATATTTTGAAGAATCAGCTTTCTCCATGGAGGCCAGAATACTTCAGTGTGGACTGAAACATGGCTCTTGGGCTCCTCGTTATACTCTATACTGGAGCAAGGTTGGAAGCTGACTTTTCTCATTCCATGGATGTTGTCTAAAGCCAGAGATAAGATGATGAAGCTGTCTGAGAAACACAATGTGAAAAGAAAGACTATTTAAAACAGAATAATTTTTATTCACATGCCAGGTAAGATTCTTATTCATAGATCATTATGTGGTTGCTTCTGCATTGCTTCTACAGACAATTACTATCACATTGCAACATTTTACATAATTTTTCAGATTCAACTGGGCAACTAAATAGACTTTTACCTGGAGAATATACTGTCGTTTTCTTTAAAGATTCAATTGGCTTCACAGTATATAGTTAATGAGCTATCTAAAAGTGTATCAGTGAAAAGAGCTCATTGTGCTGTGTCTTACCCTAGCTGTAAATGAGTCTTTAAAAGCTCTGATCACTATCTCCATACCATCCTCGAACAAAAGGATACATTGGCATCAAGCAGCAAGCAAAGAATTAAGTTGAAATGTTAGAGGAAATAAACTAGTTAATTGATACATGGATTTCTCAAGATGATAGCTTCTGCTTGAAGGAAAAGAAATCTTCATGAGGATAAAAAAGAAAGCCATTTAAATCCAGATAGAATGCAATGGCCCCAAAACATTGAAAACTCTTCTTTTGAACTTCATTTCTGTAATAGACAAGTACACTTCTCACTACTCTTCACTTAATATACTCAGTAGTAAAGTACAGAAAGAACCAGCTCATCACTATCATGAATTTGCCAATTATAAGAAGAATGTGTTTGTGAATATAAATGCTTTGGTTTTGATGTTGTTCTCATTCCTCTACTATTCTTGCTATGGCAGGTAACAATCTGCTTCTCTCCTTTGGATTGCCATTGAGAATTTTGTCTTTCAGAGAGAAGGAACATGCTGGAAAATTATTTATTTCTCATCAAACTAAGGCAATTTAGAATCCCCAGATAAGGGAAAGAATTCCTATAGTCCTTCCAGAAAAATCCCAGAGTTGTTGAAATGTCTAAATAAGAAAACCAAATTTCCAGTCAGTTTTTATATGCTGTGAAAAGAACAGTCCAACACTAAAAAAAAAGATGTCCTCCCACTTAATTTGTTATGCATTGGAACATACAAGAAGGCTTGATAGCGCATTTTCAAGGGCCATAAGTAGCCATCATCTCACATTCAAATAGTACTTTGAAGTATCCTGACTCATGGTGTGCCTTGCAGTTGACCATATCTGGTTTTTTTGATACTTTCTTATTTATCTGCCATTGCAGATGTTGGTGATAGACAACTCACATCCCCACCTTCATGGGAGTAAGTGACCTCTTTGCTGGCTCTTCCATGCATTACAAGATAATGTTTAAAGGGTTAAGCTGATTTTGTGTGGATCATCAGTGACATCCAGTGGCTATTGAAGGTGATCGCAGGTGTGCTGTGCCAATCCAGAGTCCCACTGTAGTGGAGTGATGCGAACTGAAGAGGACGTTAATTAGCTGACTATGTTCCTTGTCCTGACTGATCTCGAGTGCCGTGAAAATTATAATTATTGATTTATTTTTCAATACTATTATACTTAGCTGCATATATTTCTTCTGTGGAGTCCAGTTCTTCCAGGGGTATCTCCTCCATTCTGTCACCACAAGTAAAAAATGGAATTCCCCAGGAGATGCCTCTTACATCAAGAACGTATAATAATGAAAAAGGACTATCCAATGAGGGGAAAAGAAAAGAAGAAGAAGAAAAATACTTAAACTCTTTCTATGACCCCCCACTCTAAATTTCATGGTATAAACTAGATGATTAACTGGAATACTCGTGCTGAAACAAATCATGGATGGTTTTTAATTTGGTACTTCATGATATTTAATTCACTCCTTGTCTTAAATCTCTTATTCTGTTCATAACCAATGAGGCATATTCCAGGTTTAGACCTTAAATGTCTAAAGTAGTTTTCTAGTACAATATCACCCATTTCTTGTTTTGTTCTGTTTTAAATAAAAATCAGCTATTCTGAAGTCCTTTTTTTTGTCTTTCCGAGTTTCTGTTTCAATTTCACTCTACATAGATTAGATTGACTTCTTATATCTGCATATTATTCCTACATAGTCCCTACATGGTCCCTTGAGGTTCTAGGTTACAACCATGCATGTGTCGACCTTGATAACTTCTCAATCTCCACTAAAACTTTAAGTCTTTATTCCAGCTTTTCATGTTAGCTCATGCTTTCCATGTCTGCTGTATATATTTATGAACTATATGAACAAAGTGAGGGTCTCTGCCTATCCTTTGTGGCCTGTCTGTTTACAGAGATTTATAAGCCTGTTACAGGCTCTGGCTAAGGAACTGTCCTGTATACCCAATATTCTGCCTAGTCACCACCAAATAGGTACATTGCTATTTATACTCCTAGCAAACCAGAAAACTTTCCAGCTCACCTAACCTGTGAATTAAAACCACATCACTGTCTTCTCAATTGTTCGACATAAAAAGATGACTCGAGACAACCAAAAAACCCCACACATATCCTGGTACTATAAAAAATTCACTAGCTTGTTCTCGAGACAATCATCACTAACATATTTATAAAACAAGCTAGTGCTCAGTAGCCTAAAAATATGTGTTTGAGTTATGACACACAAAATAATCTTCAGATCCTACTAAGTATTTCTAGCTCATCCATACATTTAGCTATCATAGTCCATGTACCTCAAAACACAGAGATTTTATCCAACCAGAATCTTTTGTAATAAAGGACAGATGCCAAAATTTCGTGGTTCAATATCTGGACAACAGCCAGTGAAATACCAAATGTTATACCATTTTAATATATAAATGGTTATTTATTCAAAACAAGAGAATCATGTAACAATGTACTTCCAATGCATCCTTGAAATAATTTTTCTTTCCACGTACAAAATACTCTAAAAAATGGTTGTTGTAACATAACCCAAAAAACAGTGGGGAAATGCAGAAATACAAGACAGTGCATGGAAGCTATACTGATCAACATGAATATTTTTCTGTGACAGAAATATTGTCCTCTTTTACCTTCCTGGTGCTGTAAGGGAGCAGCAAAAAAAAGGGTTCATTCCCTTGGTTGCAACAATGTCTCTTCCCACTTCCTGTATAAAGATTAAATTGATAAACAATTAAGAAAATACGGAAATCTGGTCAATTCATCATCATCATCAGTGCAGTGCATATTTCATATATGTAACTAAATATAGGAAAGTTATTAAATTGATACACTAAATCATGACAAAATATAACAGAGAGAAAATAATTCTGCATTTCAGTCATGTAGTGTGATTATTTTACTTAATGTATTGAGAGATAGAATTTTACTTTTTAGTAGTAATGGTTGTCTGCAGACCTACATTTAAGGGAGGCGGTAAAAACATTCACACATCTTTTGAAATATTAAACATAGGTTTAGAAATTGATTAAGTCATATAAATGCATCTGTAAGGCAGAATTGTCTAAGGGAAAGAAATACACATATATAGAACACTAGTTAGTTTTGTTCTCAAGCATTTATATCCTGTCTCTCAAGTTCTAAATATTTGCTCTGAATTGATTCTAAAACCTAAATGTCATCACTTGTACTGAATGAGAAAAAACAATTGTTGTGTAAAATAGATGGCACAACTGGAAATAAAATCACAATTGGAAATACTCTTAAAGGTTTCCAAGGGATGAAACACCATTGGAGGAAGGAACCTCAGAGATCATTTACAAAGATGTCTGTTCTTCAATCACTCTTAAAATCAAGTAAAGTAAAAATTTTGTGACTTAAGCTAAATGTAAATTATTTCTCATCTTAACAAAAGCAAGGCAAAATTCTCCTCTTGTATTTCTTTTTATTTCCTTTTTTTCAAACATTAAGTAATTTTTTTTCCATAGCAAAAGCAGTTCAAAACATGTACAAAATTCTCTGTAACAGTGCATTAGTGACAAACCCCATGTTTTTTAGGCAGAAAGTAGTCTACATACATAATTACTGTCTTCCCCATTCACTACTTTACTGCAGAATAACAGGATAGGTGTCAAAATCTACACTGAAGTTTCTAAATTGTTTTGTGAAAAATGTGATGCTTCACTTAATAGGAAACTCTATACTCAGTTTTCTTCCCACACCTACTTCCCTTCTCCCTGAGGCTACAGATTATTTTGTCATAGCAATTTGTTCAAGCATATTGAGTTATAAATTCACAAGAGTTCCATTTGTCTGTTATTCTGATCCTCTTCATAACATGTCCAGTCCACATCACATATGGGTTCCTATGCCTACAGTAAGTACGCACAGATATTAAAGACCAGAATGTGCCTTCCTTACTGAGTTCATTGAAGTTACCCCGTACTAGTGACCCTCAGTGTGCAGAAAAGTGAGATGGTACTCCGTGGGCTTGATTTACCAAATTTCTCTAGTTTTTTGTCACTAAATTCCATCTCTAATGTCCCTTATGAAAACAGAGGTCAGATTCTGCTGCCAGGAAAAGGAAAAATCTCTAATTTGTCTCTTATGCCTGACCCTTCTGCTGAGACATGCATTCATCTTCATTCACAGCCCAGCAGTCTGACATCTTAGTGTCTAAAGCCACACTGCAGTTTACTGTAATGCTAAAGTGGAAGTGAAAGAGGGAGAGATATCATTTTGTCACCAGATGGAAAGATGAGCAGAATGGGGTTTGACGGGATGCTTAATAAGTGTGTTAGAGAAAACACTGTGAAAATGGCAGGTCTACTCCTTAATGCAATGATTTTCCTATACTCTTCAAAGGCAGTCCTCAGGCTTGATTCCACCATCTTTTCTAAAAAAGTGAATAACAGCTTACTTTGAAAATAAGCCTTCCATCTCCATGGTTCAAAGTTAATAGAATTTTGTTCTTAATTAATTTGTTAACAAATGATTAAAAAAAAAAAGTTAGAAAGTTGTTAATCGGTTGTGTGGAATTGATTTTTTTTAACTTTTTGTTACTCCTACCCATTTTCACTCTTTATTTTAAAAGCTCCTTATCTAGCCTCTTCTTTTCTTCCTCTATGGAATAGGGGAGAAGGTGAATGGTCAACTCAATTTATTTTGATTATTATTTTTTGATGAAGACATTCTATTATATGATAGAATAACCTGGACACAGCCAATTATCTGTCTCACATTGATTAAGAAAATATGTCATTTTGGTCAAGTTTTACATATTGAATTTTAATTACATTACTTTTTAAAATCTCATTAAAAGTTTTTGGGTTTTTTTAATACAATTGCTTCAGCAGCCCTCTATTTCATTTGATATCTAATCTTGGCATGACAGAAATTGCATGTATTTATACATTAAATAATTACCAGAAGGTTTGGATGAACAGCAGAAGCACAAATATTGATTCATCATCTAACCCACTTTACATTCACTGAAAGTAAAGTATTTGCTAACACAACTAACACTGGATGACACAATGGTTGTAGTGTGTCTTGCTAAACTTAAATTTTGAATCAATGTAAAGCCCACATGATATGAAAATGTATTCAAGCTTCTTTAAAATATTTCTAAAGATATTTGCAATACTGTGAAGCCAAACTTCATTAAACGCATGCCTATTCCCTTCCATAGTGTAGCTACAAGGGCATGTTTACATTTAAGATGTTTAACTGTATTTACATATTCCACAGATTTGTATTGCAGATATATAAAAAGAAAATAATTATAGCCTCCTCAGCAGTTCATATTTTATCTAAATAAATGTCATGTTATATTATTATTACATTATTACCAAAACTAACAAAACATATTGTAAAGATTTAATCACCCTTGATGTCTCTACATCAGAAAACCAATGGCAATCTATCAGGGATTATTTTCTTATGCATTCTTTTATTCAGACAAGAAGAAATTATTCTTGGTCTGCTATTTTGTTTAATGGCAAAAATCAAAGAAGTAATATTGCAGACTTTCAAAATCATTAAGGCATCTGTATGTCACTGAAATCAGACTTAAGCACTTATTTTTTTTTCTAAAGGTTTGTGTTTACAAACCTTTTGACTTACATAGAGGCATTTGCACTATGACACAATTCTTTGGAGAAACTGCCATTTCATTTTTGTTCACAGTCCTTAAATTGCTGGATTCACATAAGAAAATTGTACGGTTATAACTGACCAAAATGTAGAAAGTAAAACAATGTAATTCACATACTCATCTGGGAAAAAACTGATTTTGAGATTCATTAAGATACAAAAGGTTTCTCCACAGAAGTAAGTCATCTCCGTTTTCAGAAAAAATTAAAAACTCATCAGATAGTGTAGCTACTCAGAGATAGCATTGATTCAAAATGTTCTGAAGAAGCAGTAAAATTATGAGACAGCTCTGGAAAGTAAAATAAAGGTATCTATCTCAAAACTGAACTTTTCCAATGTTTGCATCCTTGGTGAAAATAAAGAAATAAATAAATAAATTTTAAAAAGCATAAAAACACTCAAGTTGAAGGCTATCTCATGGATGGCACTTCCACAGCCACTTGAAGCACAAGAGGAAGCCTCTCCATTTGCACAGTAACATAAGCAATACATAATGACTTAGTTGCAGAATAGACATGCACAGAAATTTCTTCGGTAGCATTCCCATTCAGGGGAAACTTTGTGGAAACAGCAAACATAACAGAAACTCTTACAAAATCACACGTATAAGAGTTAATTTATTGTATCTGGGGAAAAGTGTCACAGCTTAAAGAGCTGTAGCAAATTATTTTCAGAACAACCAGGGATATTTAGGAAGTATTCTGAGAACACACTACCATTTCATATAACAGAAAAAGCCCAAAAGATACTGTTTACTCAAAGGCGTTAACAACTAAACATAATTTAAGAATTTCAAGAGTTGTCTGAAATCATATCTATGGGCCTGGGATTTAAGGAAACAAGAATAATAGAGCAAGAGTAAAAATGCCCTAAAAGATGCTGCATTATGAGTAATATGACTCCATTCCACTGATACCTTTCCTTCAGGAAAGAAAACATGTTTAAAATCTGGTGTCCCTATATGCAGGCAGACTATTATGCTCTGTAAATAGGTTTAAAATGTCCTAACATTTCTGAGGCTTTCTTATCTCTTGTTCATTTACCTTTCTTTAGATTGCTTTCACACTTTTCCCCCTTTCCATTAAATTATTCAAGAACTCCTCTTTATAAAGGTCACAGTCATAAAAACCAGGGAATAGGAGCAGTGGCATGTGATTCACAGGACCAATGAGGCAGCACACAAAGAGGATTGTGAAGGACTCATAAAACCTGAGGCCAGAAGGAATCCTCAAATCATCTAATCTGATCTTCAGTATATGACAAGTCATTCTATCTCACTTATATAGACCAGAATGAAAATGCCTCAGCTTTTCACTAAAAATGGTAATGTTATCTCTTTGGCTACTGACTGTACACAGGGACAAGTTGACCAAACTAATTGCTAGCACTTCCCATGAAGGCAATTCTGTACTTCATGGAATTATTTCTGTATCCTATGAAACAAGATTCAGGGAGATTTACTACTCAGAGCAGAGAGAAAACAGCACTCCTTCTTCCAGCTTCCTTCTCATTCTGGCAGAAGTTCAGTCTGGCATCAGAACTGCCTTGACGATCAAAGGCAAACAGAGGCTTTGACAAGTAGAAACAACTCAGAATAGGCTCATGAGCTTCACTGTGTGATTTGTTGCTGATATAGATCCCAGCTGAGTTAAGCTAATGAAGCCACTGCCTAATTAAACCATATCATTTTCTTTTTCCTTCCTGCCACAGACAGCAGATGCGTTTGGCCAGTACCCACCCTGGTGTACTCATTGCTTCCACTGGTGGCTTTGTTCCAGTGGCTTATAATTTGCATTGTTGAAAATAAAAGTAAAATATCGTAAAAGGTGACCGAGTTCTTGCTTGAATTTATCTTCCTTCAGTTTCCTGTTACAGGTTCTTCTTATGACTTACTTGCTAGCATACTTCATTCAGGTCACCTGTCAGTCTTACTTTTACCATTCTAAACAGGTGCCATTGTCACTTGCATAGCAAGCCATTTTTGTGCAGTATCTAGACAATATTTGTGGCCCTGCTTTCTACTCTCTTCATTTTTGCAAGTGAACCCTACATCTGTATGGAGAAATATAGCTTGATTCCAGCAGCACTGAACGTACAGGCAAACTCCCTGCTTTCCCTACTTGTCTTCACTTATACTTCCACTGACCACTGACTCCTGCAACTGTTTTCAGTAGACTTATTTACCATTCTGTAGATCTAGTTCTCATTCTGTGTTTTTTTGGGTTTTATTCTTTACCCAAAATTTTGTCTGCATTATTTAAAATGTCTATTTAAGATGCCTTGTCGTGTTAGGAGAGACCAAAATTTAAAAGATTAAACTCACTGCCATACTTTATGTCCTATACAAATTCTACCAAATCAATAGCTAGCTAGCTATCTATCTATCTATCTATCTATCTATCTATCTAATCTATCTAATCTATCTATCTATTCATTTAACATGAAACTGTTGAGAGAGGTATTGAATAACTTTAGATTCAGTACCAAAAGCTTGCAGCAACTCCCTTCACAAAACCTCTTTAACAACAATTTCCCATTTATGGGTTATTTTTTCATCAGCATGTTAATTAAGTTTTGATTTAGCTACATGTTTCTCTTTGATATCTCACAGCATTAATCTTTTTGTCAGATTTTTAGTTATTAAATACATTAAAATTATACATTCATACATTAATGCCTCATTCATACACACTAAATGCCTCAGTAATAACTCAAATATATAGTTACCTTTTAGAGGGAAATTTGTAAAAGGTTGGTTTGACAAGGCTTGCTTGCTATAAACCCATATTGAATGGTACTAATTATATTCCTAAACAATACTAGCAATAAACAGCTAGTGGACAATCCATCAAATAAAATATGTTTGCACACTGTATTTGGCCTCTGTCAGCAGAAGTCAGTAGGAGTGTTTTCATCCATTCTTTAGTCTTTGGATAAAGCCTTTCTCAAGCACTTTAAAATTTGCACATTAATTTCAAAGGCAGTCTGTTCAGTGACACTTCATAAACATGTAGAAGACTTTATTTAGTGAAAAAGCTCACTTGCTACAAGTGATTCATCCAGCTATAGAAAAGCTATATCTGTGGAGTACTGAAATACTGGAGTTAACACTATTTCAAGGTCTTCCCTTTGCACTTCAAGTTTATAATCACTGTTCATATTTGGTTGGCTTTTCACAGACGGCATTGCTAAAAAGAAGTGGAATGCTTCCAATGCAAGTAAGCAGATAAACAGCTCAAGGCTCATGAGTTGGCCTCAGTAGGAATTCTTTAGAAAATGTTAGATGAGAAAAAGAATACCTTGTTGCTAAGTTACCTTTGTTTCATTTAGTGCCATGACTATTTGTTGCTTAAAGAGAAAGCATTGACATTTTCCCCCTTACTCCCTGCCATATGGAAGATAGGCTTTTAAGATTCTCTTATGAGAGGTGCACGTTTATAATATAAACCTTTATGTTCTCCAAGTGGAAGAATCAACATGCTGGAGGATAATCAAGACCTTTCAGGTTTCAAAAACTTCTGCTGTTTCCAAATCATTCTCATATTCCCAACAGTTTATTTTTAGAAGCAAATATACTTCCTAAATACTTTATTATATATTTTCCTACTTTTCGATCAATCAGAAAATATGCAGGTAAAATTATCTGTCATATACTTTAATCACTTTAATTATCTGTCATATACTTTAATCTTCCTCCCTTCTGAAGGGTTAACAAAACAGATGGTATGAGTGAATAGGCTCATATTTCAGTTTTTAATCACACTCACCACCAGAGGTCTTATTTGGGTCCATATGATTTTGATATATTTACCTTAAAAACAATAAAGAAATACTGTAAATTATAAATTATGCCAAAGCAAATGCCATCCTAAATACATTCAGTTGAAGATGTGTAGAAATGCTCCCCTGAATTTTGTGGAAAGCAATTTTTACCTGAAGAGCTCCAAAAAATTTTGAATATCACAAAGCTTCTGTATATGTGTGTGTAGAAATATGAATCTTTTGTTCTTGAAACAGAGAATTTTTTTTTTGTTCTGTTTCAAGAACAAAAGATTCTTATTTCTACACACACATATACAGAAGCTTTGTGATATTCAAAATTTTTTGGAGCTCTTCAGGTAAAGACTACATGCACCATGTAGATAGAGATTAAGTGATGCAACCAATGTCACAAACTAAGCCAGGTGCAGAGTTAAGGACATAGTTAAATACCTGAATCCAGTATTTAATTGTGGTTCTTAATAATGTATTTTAAAAAAATTCTGAAGACAAGATATGAAACCTTTTGTACTCTCCTTCCAGTGTCAATTACAGCCTGGCATCACAAGTATGTGGGAAGAGAAACGCTGCTGCACCTAGGGCTGTGTGAGCCATGGGACAGTGTCCTGTGGCTGTCAGCCTAAAATGCTGATGTACCTCTTCAGTACTTATACACAGTAATAGCGGAAAGTATCAATAAGAGTAAATTAGTCCTTCCTGTTTCTATTGTCTCTTGCATCACATCTGAAAAATAGTAAGCATAATTTTTTTCAGTTTTTGGAGGGGGTGGGTTCTTGTTTGTTTTGGTTTTGGTTTGGTTTTTCTTTAGCGGGGAGAGGGCGATGGGGAAAGGATCTATAGTAACGTTACTTCTCTCTAATGACAATGAGTGGAGATAATATTGCTTCTTTCATTCAAATTCTTCATTGCACAGTCCAAAAGCTAAAAACCTGAGCAATGACCAAAGAGACACTGGGATAAACACATAAAAGAACATAACCTTTTTCTTCAATCAAATAAGTAGCTTGTCCTTCCCGGTGCAGCTCTTACTCACACATCAGAGCCGGCTACCTTATTCCTTGTTATGTGTCTCTATAAACAGCAACCATTTCACTGTAATTTGACAATAGACATAAGCTCAGTGTTTGACAAGCAGTCAGAAATAAGGAGCTATACCCTTGAAAAATAAACAGTGTGCTGGTATATAAAGAACCACCAAGAGAGAGAAGAACCCTTAAAATATTTCATTTCTTTAATCACTTCCCTTACAGGGTTTACTGAATCAAAGAGAAAGTCCTGGTTTTATTTCAGTATCATTTCACCTTGCTTTCATCAACTCCCATGCTGCATTTTTACATTTTCTACCTATTTAAGGACCCACTGAGGACCATGTTCACACATTCTTACTCATTTATCTTTGTCACTTGTAATTACCAGAGTGGCCATTTCCTTGCTTGTGCATATTCCCGCTCTACTCCTCTTTCTTTCTTTCCTCCTAGGAGGAGTGTGACACTCTTTATTCTAGGCACCCTTGGATGTACCATCTGTAGGAAGATCAAAGACAGGGTCATATCCATCTAATAACAAGAGAGGAAACAATACTGTAGGTGAACACTCTATTAGCCTCCTTCTTCATTTTATTCAGGTCAGTGCTCAGGGACTTTCAGACGTCTTTGAACAAATGGATGTGAAAATGAAAGACAAGTTATAAAGAAATAAGTTTCTTTTCTTACGCAAGTTAGGCTGATAGGTTGAACCACGGCAGTGTTACAATAGTCTTTTCCCTGGGCAGCTCAGGAAGTATCTTTTCTGAACAATCCTTACCCTTCAAAATAAAGCATAAAAATCTGCTTCCATCTTGAGACTTGCAGCTATTAAAAAATGTCCAGAGGCAATAAACTGAAGACTTGTGTAGGATACTGAGGACATTATTATTGACAGGAAATCAGTCTTCCATGATAGCTGAACTCCAAGATCTCTCTATAGAGAGGAATAATTTCTCCACTGGTGTAAACAGGCAAAGCTTTACTGACTCTGGTAGTGCTGCATTAGTTTAGACCAGCAGAGAATTTCAACTAAAATTTTTAATTTGTTTTGGATGCTTGGAACTGAAAGTTTTTGTCACTATGTTGAGATCACCCTGAGCACAGGGCTACAGTGAGCAGGGGCTTCTGGCTGGGTCATGAAGCCTTTCTTCTGCACCACAGCTGCACAGCACGAACACACGGCAGGAAGAACAGGAAAAGCAGCAGCCATTTAGTTTCACCTTAGGAGACCTTCTCATTTCTATCTCCTTCCGTGAATTTTTGGTTCAGCTGACTGCCCTAAAGACTAAAGCAACTGTTGAGATCCTCTTTAGCACATCTGAGTGCTATGTACTGTTAGACAGCCTGTCTGTGTCTCACTGAAAAACATTTATGTTAACTAAAAATCAGACACTGCATTTCTTGCCAGAACAAAACTTATGTACGTGAAAATATTTCGAATAAAAATTCCAAATGCTTTAGTCAGATGTTCTTTCTTTTCTCTTTGGGTTTTTTTTTTTTAAAGCATAATATTTCTCATATGTTACAGAGAAAGTCATTGAAAGCATGGAGAAATATTTTCAAAAGAGGAGAGAGAAAAAACCCACAAAAATTCAGTTATGTCAATATATGTGCATATGAAACATTTTCTTGTGCTGATAATGTTGTCTCAGACACTTTGTCTAATGCTGGTAATATTGAGTGTTGCATTAAAATCCGATAGAGAAGTGTGTCTTCAGCATGTGCAAAGTTTCTAAAAATGCCATTGCTATTGACTTGAGCTTCCCCAAGCTGAGGGCTTGCTCCTTTATTGGATTATTTTTTTTCCCCAGATGGAATTATATAAACTCAACTTTTCATCTGTGGAAAGGTCCAAGGCAGTTTAATAGAAAACATATTCCTACTGCAGTATTCTAGAGGTTGTTTCAGTGTTTCTTTCAGTGGCAGCTTATTCTCCACTAAACTCAGTTTTTCAGTGGGGTCTCAAAAATAACAAATTATTAATTTCTCAATTCAGTAGGCCCTCTAAATAAATGCCTAACTTCATGAATATTCATAGTTTACTTGAAGATACTGAGAGTACTTTACTATGCCGTTAACTCTAAGTTAATAAGAGTTTTGCTAAATTAGGGCCACTGTACATATAGACAAGATTTTTCCATATATATTCCCTTATTGTAGTAAAACATATAATATTTATAACATATTATAAATAATAAAAATATAAATTTTTAAAATAGAAACAAATATAATAATGTTGTATTATATAATAAATATATAATTCTGTTGCCACATTAACATTGTTTAAGGAAATCAGTTGATGCATTCAATGATCTTGTCTTGAAAAAGAGCAGTAATTCCTGTCTTTCAAGATTTCTTTGGGTAGTTGTTGCAGTTCATGGTAAGTTCAGGTTTTCTATCTAATTTCGTTATTGTGGATCAGTAGAAGGGTAAGATGAGTTTTTCTAGGCCTGCTTGCCTGACTAGAACCTGGCTAAGAAAACTATAAATATGATATAACATTGTTTAGTGCCTACCATACTTTAATATGTCTTACTATTGGTTACAAACTGTATGTTTCAAAAAAGAAAATAAAAGTCAGTATTAAACAAGGGGTTCTCCTAACCAAGATTTGTTTTACATCTCCTTGTCACTCTTTAGAACACCAGATGCATCATTTTCATTTATATACAAATGTTGGGGTAGCAATCAAAGTACAGGAATCGCTGCTGAAGTTAATATTTTTGTGGGGGTTTTTTTGGTTTTTTAGAGCTTGTCTTCTTTAAAATACTCACTAAAATCTGGAAACCTACTGCATGCTAAGCAAGTACTAGCACTTCACCAGACTATCATGGGCCTACATTTGTTTTTCAGACTTACTTGAAACACAGCCAGAGGTAGAAGCATAGTAATATAGACTACAGCAGCAGCACACAATAAATAATAATAAAAAGAAATAATGAGTTAGTTTAATAGACAAAGAAATTACAAGATGTGGATAAACAGACCTTCAACATAGCTATGTCCCTTGCCCCATTAAAATGAAAAGAAGCTGTCTTTTTCCTCCAGGATGTAAAGGAATAGGTGCTGGGAATAGGACTCTAAGAATTGATGCTGATGCGAAATACTCCTTTCAGAGCTGAGATATTTTGAACATGATGACAAAAGTCTATTATTTTCAGGGCAGCTCATTAAAATGTATGAAGGTGTTGCCAGTATTAGAAAGATACCACTTACAATAAAGTCAGTAAATTTCAGAGAAGGTCATACCAAAGATCCTATATCAGGTGAAAAATACCTATATGGTGCTGTAATGGGACTCAAGACTGTGCTGGCAGAAGTTCAAGTTTCTTAGGTCACCTGTCATCATAACAGTGACTGCTGGTTCCAGGAGAAGGATGAACGTATTTTAAAAGATCGCTCTGTGGATTCAGCAATTGTCTTCAGCTGCGGAGAGTCAGAGTCCTTGTCTCTTCCAAAATAAGTTCAGATCAGTAGCATAGTGGTATTTTACCAAGTGCTGAGGGCCATGTGATTCAGTGGACAATGAAATAACGTGGCCAGAGATGCACATTATGCAGTCATGCATATTCTGACACTCTGGGGCTCAAAAATCCATATTTATGGTTAGAGTTGTTGAAGGATTTTGTTGAATTGTGTTTGCATTCTGTAGGAAAAGGGCTGTCATTATTAATTGGTCTTTCATTTTGCTATTTTACAGGCAGTTCTCTAAATTGTCATAAATCATAGGGAAATTTTAAATTATTTAGGACAGGAGCTGTCATTGCCTTTCTGTTTGTAAAGTGCCTAACACAGTAGTTTGCCTTTTGGCCCACCAAGAATATAAATTTAAAATAAAATAACCATCACCTATCTCAGCTAACCTTTACCTGGGACAAACATAAATAATACAACATACACATAGTTGCAGTAATAAGGTAAAAATCAGCACATATTCTCCATATGAACTCTTTTTACACAGATTTATGACTCAGGAGAGATGTTGGTGAAGTTCAAACTTTGAAAAGGATGGAGAAGCACTTAAGGTCTTGAATAAAAACTTTTTTAATTCTGGATAAACTGTTTCCACAACACTTGCAAGAAGGACCATATGATCAAATTTCCCACACAGTGTTATGAAATGAGCCTGAAATATGTCTGACTATTCAGCATTGATATCGTATCCTTTTCCAGAAGAATAATAAAAGTAAAAGCAATCACAACAGTGATACTACAGTACATGCAACCTATCACAAGTGTTTTAACAAGCGAATTCAAATTAATGTTTATGTATGAGCTACAGTTTCCATTTGAATTACTCTGCCATGTAGTTTCAAAAAAAACAGACCTTCCAAACTTTGCTTAAAAATACAGGAATTAAAGCAAATGAACAAACTGTTTCAGTTTGAAAATTGGTACATTTTCTCAGTTGTTATAGTGTTAGTCAATCAAGGGACATTTCATGCAAACTAAAATAAAAAGAGCTCTGATTCAGATCACAAAAGGAAGGTATCATTTCAGATGATATTCAATCCTCTGACCACCAATGGATTTCCAGTAGCCTCTGAAGGAATGTCATCCTGTAAGTCAAAATACAAGACTCGGGAATATGAGTGTCCAGGATGATTGGCCAGTCCAAATGCTTTTTTTAAACTAACTAACTAAATAAACAAATCAATCAATCAAGAAGCCACAGAATCACAGAATATTTTGAGTTGGAAGGCTTCCCTCTTTGACATGTGATGATACTTTTAAAAAAGTCTACTTTCAAAAGCAAACGGAAAACAATGTTCCTAGCTAAGTCTATTAACAGGATGGGAAATAAAATACTTTTCATTGCAATTTTTTTCTTAGGAAATAATCTCGGTCAAAAAACAGAGGACTAAATGAACAGAATAAAAAATTTTGGACTTTTGCTAAATAAAGGCTACAGTTTCACAAGTCTTTTCCTTTAATTTTGGAACTAGGGCAGTAGTATTTTACATTTTTTGTATTTTACTTGAACAACCATCCAATTAAACTAAATCCTTGCATCATTTGTGTGGTTGATCATAATGGACTCCTGAAAAGTGAATTTCAAATATTGAATACTGAAATATTGTTAACTACTAACTGTAAATATCTCCATGAAACTTTAACTTTCCTCAAAATGGAATCTGCAGATAAATCTTTGAGCAGGTGGCTTGCCAGTAGAAATGCTGATTCTCTGATAAGAAAATCTCTTCTAATTTATTGGACAAACCACATATCCTGGACTTCTGTCTGACTCTCTGATATCTCATTTGCAAATTCTTACAGCAGATAACTGAAGGCCAAGCACCATATGTAATTGGCTATTAAAATAAATAAAAAAATAGTTAAAAAATTGTCTTAGATGTTCCTGAGAACTATTAGAAGACAAGATTTCCCTGTTCATACTTATGCATTCACTTCCCAGAAGGCTAAGCTTTGTGATTGAGGTGTATTCTGCAAGCATCCCCTCAACTGTGTGTAGTTTTGGGCACCACAACTTAAGGAAGATATTAAACTGTTGGAGAGCATCCAAAGGAGGACAACAAAGATGGTGAAGGGCCTTGAGGGCAAGCTGCATGAGGAGCATCTGAGGTCACTTGGTCTGTTGAGCCTGGAGAAGAGGAGGCCAAGGGGAAACATCATTGTGGTCTGCAACTTCCTCGTGAGAGGAAGAGGAGGGACAGGAACTGATCTCTCCTCCCTGGTGACCAGGGACAAGACCTGGGAGAATGTCCTGAAGTTGCATCAGTAGAGGTTAAAGCTGGATACTAGAAAAAAATTTTCCCCCAGAGTGTTGTTGGGCACTGGGACAGGCTCCCAGGGAAGTGGTGACAGCAGCAGCCTGACAGAGTTTGATAAGCATTTGGACAATGCCCTCACAGTGTCATTCTTGAAAGTGTCTTGTGCAGGGCCAGGAGCTGGATTTTGGTGCTTCTTGTGGGTCCCTTCAAACTCATGATCAAAATCATTTTAGGGTTCTATGAACTGCACCTTGGTCTTCATAAGACCAAGAAATAATTTTCTTATTACCCCAACTTATAGGCAAGTAGGCAAAGTATCTCTTCTGACCTTGGATTTTGTCATAACTTAAGGAAAAAATAAGAGTACCTTGTTATTATGAATCTGTTGCACTTTGTAGTGATCAGTCCTACCTTTACTAATGGTGATATGGAGGGCATAAAACTGACACAATAGAGCAGTGAAGAGCAAATTAACTTTAGAAGTAATATGTTTAAAGGGGGGTTTTTCCATGACTTAGGATAGTAAAAGCAAAAAAATCACTTTTATGGAAAAATGAAGCTGACACAAAATTTTGTGTGTCAGTTTCATAGAAAAATTTGTTAGTCATGCAGACATGCAAATAACACTAGATGTCATATTTTTAAATAGTTCTTTGTGTAAAAGGCTTTGTACCATTTGAAAAATCCATTAAAAATTCAGTCAAGCAACGTCAGCAGCAGGTAATGGAATTCCATCCGCACAAAAATATTTTAAAGTTAGTTTTTGCAAATCTCTCATGTTATTCTGGCTTCCAAGAACGTCAAAAGATAGAAAAACTTTCCCCTTCATTGTCTGATTTATTTGCATTCAATATCTAAAATTACCCCACTCAAAAAAAAGGAAAGGATGAAGTGTTTCTAACTCTTAGAGATCTCAGATAATTTAGCCTCCAGTTGCATACATTTTTAATATCACAGACAACATGATAATTGACATATGTGATTCTGGATCAAACTTTATATTTTAAATTATTTCACTCAACTGAAATGTGTTTAAGTGCACTATCGAGACACGTTCAGCAATTCAGCTTTTAATGATTATCTGTCTCACCAGTGCTACCTTTGATGTTAAAACAGTCTAAGAAATAATATAATTTTCCCTCATTCTCATGGGGTTGGTTATATTCAGATGTTTCTTAAATATTTTATTTAAGAACTCTCCCTGACCCCAACCACAGTAAAAATTTGAAAAGATTTTACTTACAGTAATTTCATGTCTTGTAGTTTGCTAAATTCATTCAGATGATCAGGACCTCAAAACCAGCATTGATTGATGAATCTGAAATAATATCAAAGGAATAAATCAAGAAGTTACAGCAGACATAAAAATACAAGATGTAGCAATGAGTTTCTAATAATGAGTATTTCCAAGATTACGCTGTCTGAGGCCTTAAGGATATATGATCATGTCCCCATGAATCAAAACTGGTAGCTTAAGAAGTTTTGTAAGCCAGTGTGTCATGGTCCACCAGATCAAAATGGAGCATGTACAGTCCTGTGCCAGATGGTGTTTAATTAACTGACAGTTAATAGAGGCTTAACTGACTGCTTCAGATCCATCACACTTTGCCATAGAAATGTCCAAACTATATAGGCAAATAAAAATACTTAAAAGACTATATAGGTAGCGTCATTAAAAGTATCAGATTCATGCTTTCATTCATTATTTTGAATTTCCAGACACAGAGAGAATCTGTGAAGTTTTTACCTATTTAAAAAATCCCCAAACAACCACAAAACCAAACCAAAACAAAACAAAAAACCAAACAAAACAAACCCCAAAACAGAATGTAACCATGAGCAATGGTCTAAAACACTCCAAGATAAATGCTATTACTAATGGAAAATTTTTAAACCATTGCTGTAATTTCCTCATTAAAAAGAGACAGGCAAACTCATCACCCTATTAAACAACTCTGGTTTTAATCTTTCTTTTAATTCTCTGTGTCAAATTAACTGGGCTGAAAGGGCACAGTTTTAAAAGTTACATTTTCTTTTGCTGAAATAAATAGTTTTCATTAAGATGTTGCCTACTTTTGTTAATACTTTCACACAATGCAAACACTAGAAATAGGATTCCACTGAAAAGTGCAGTTTCATTTAAAAGTTTTCTTCAATATAAAAAATAGATTTGTATCTTTCTTACTCCCTTTCTGTCATCTTGCCTTTTAAGATCCACTCTCCCCTTTAGAACTGCTGAAGTCCAGGGTATCCAGAAAGTTATGTTCTATCACCAGCACTTTTTTTTTAATGTATTGAATTTTGTTTAGAGAATCTTATTTTTCTTTAGATTATATTTTTTATTACAATCAGCCTGGGATCACTTTATTGATTTTTCCTTAAAGATTTTGTTTGGTTGTGAACAAAGGCGCATGACCTTCTTCTGCTTCAGGCTATCTTTTAAGTAATCACTATGAGTAGAAATAGCCCAGAAAACAAAGATTTCATTTGACAAGTGGTTTTTCTCCATTGCATTTCAGTTTATTTGTTTTCCAATCTTTTTTTTTTTCTAAAGAATATTTAACAGTATCTAAGTGATGAAGCTCAACTAACCTCTATGAGATTCCTGCTTTGGACAAAGAGTCTCCAGAAACCTTACACAGAAAGACAAAGTTTTTTAAAAATACACATATTGTAATATGTCCTGTAAATCAACTAAGCACTTCACAAGGTGAACCTAAAGTTGATTAAGAATAAATGCAGTGTCATTTAGTCACCTCACAGAAATCCATTGTGAGATGTCCTATTTCCACTCCTCAGAATGGATAGCCTATTATAGAAATAACCAATCCATTCCTTCTCTAATAAGTTTCATTCAAAAAATATAGAAAACACATTTTATGAAAGTCAGGTCTCACTGAGCTGGCACTGATAGCATCAGAATTCCCTTTATTACTGTTCCCATCTTTACCCTCACACCCACAATTCTCTGTTGCAGTGGATGTCTCATTTCTGTAGCAACACTGTGGTACCACCATGATCACATAATCCTTTTCATAACACTTGTAGAAAAAGAGATGACAATTTGGACAGAAACTTTCAGAAGAAAGAATGGAGGGCAAATACAAAGAATATCAATAACGTTTGAGCAAGTATCCAGAACCTCTTTGCTGAAGGTTCAATTGCTTAGTAGCAGAGTTTTTTCCTAGGATCTGTGGTTACCTGGCTGCCACTAGAACAAGTGAAGGACTCACCCATCAGCTCCAGGCTGGTGTGTGTATAGAGGGTGCAGAACAAACCTGAATATCTGTGACTTCAGCTTGCAGCTGCAATGGCTGGAGAATCAGGATCAAAGTACTGCAAGCAACTCTAGAGAGAATGAGAGAGAGTAAAAGAGAGAGAGAGAGTTCAGCAGAGCTTGATCCATGACACTTACTTGCCTTTATCTCACCAAAGTAATGTGCATGACTGGTTTTCAAGGCACTGATATGAGAAGAGGAGTTTAAAACCTAGAGGGTAAGTAGGACACACGACACCTTGTACATGCTGAATTTGTATAACTTCTCCAGGCAGCAGGCAGGCTATTATAACTTTATTGTTTCAGGATATAAGCCTATTATACTCTGCAAATGAATACAGTGACATTTTGCTGTATCGGTTGAAAAGATTAACAGTTCACAAAGCAAACTGCCGAGTGTGGCAAATTAAATACATTAAAATGTGCAAGCTTAAAATTCTGTACTCCCTGTGCTATAAACTTATATACAATACAGTTTAAAGGGTCTCAGTGGCTCAGTTAATAATGCAGTGGCCTGTCAGCTTTCTGGATGCAATTTAAGTCTTTTAGGTTGCAGTAAGCCATGACAGGGTGTGTTTTTCTCAGCCATTAATGAACGCTGTAGGTAAATTGTGCAGTAAGAAGGTGGCCCTGAGGTATATTAGTGTCACAGTAAATGTGCTAGGACTATTTTAGATGTTATTATTAAAAAGGAAAAAAAAGCTCTTTTGGATAAATATCTAACAGCTTAAAAGTTCATTGTGGAGAAGGACTGGAACATTCTGACACACTAACAGACAAAAACCACGAGAGATTTAGCAGAGCATCTTGTCACATTACTTGTCATTTTAAAGTATTTTCTCTACTAATTCTCATCTGACAAAGAACTAGGCCTAAGAATTCTCTGTAATTTCAAGAAGATTAACATTAAGAGACCACAAATCCTTATGAGTCTCAAGGATTGAACATGAGGTTTGCTCCAGTAGCTAAAAGCAACAGTCTACAACATGGGAAACACAAATATTTCTAAACAAATGGCTTGACCTCAGCTAATATTAGTTGCCATTAATGTGGCTAGAAATGCCCTGTTTCCTGGGGCAACAGCTATTTGATCATTTAAATGTCCACAAAAAAGCCATGGCTCTTTAGACTGAAACTCTTTAGTAAAATAGAAAGGTGTTGAGGAATCAGATTAAAATACTTACACAACAAATCCAAGGAGACACACAGAAAAATATTCAAGGCTTCATTTAAAAAAAAACACTCAAGATTTTGTTTGCACTTAGTCCTTCTGGATCAACCTGTCAATTTTCCAGGTTCTGAAAAGTGTTATTTTTAACAAGTAGAGAGATGGACAAGTTCTATCAAATTGAATCAGTGCTAAAAAATTATGCTCACAGAGTTTTTGCATTTATCACATACTATCTAGAAGTTCTTATGCCAGCTGTGGGTCTAGACCACAGCTGAAAAATGGGTTAGCTAGAACAAGATGATAAAGCCATGGGAATAAGTATGTTTGCAGAACTACTTTCCTACTCTTGTGAAAGTTCATATTAGGTTTATTAGGTTCTACTAATGAATCAGACAGAGGATTTGGCTTGCAGCAATTTTAGCCATGTTGAATGGTTACATATTCTCCTAAATATTACTTAATAGATCTTTGAGTATGTGGATAAATCCTTTTCCCCACTCTGGCTTTCATTGCACTGGTTCAGCAGACATTGCTGACTGGTGGGAACTTGCATTTTGCAAGGATGAATTAGAGCTTAGCAAATCATCAGCCACTTTCATAAAATGCCCTTGCTGCCACCTCTGATGTTGGTACAAAAATGTTTTGAGATTGAGAGTTAGTTGAGTACAATTTGGAATTCAAATAATTCTGAATATGTGTAAGTCTGGTTGTCCAAACTGTGTCAAAAATTATGCCTCTACATTATTCCTGACCTTGAGTATCCCAGCTGCCAGCATGGTAAGTCTGGCACAAGTATCCTAAGCATGACTGGTTTTCAAGGCTCTGATATGAGAAGATGAATTTTAAAATTTCATTTCAACAAAAATCAGGATGGTTGAAACCGGTCACAGGGTGAGTCCAGGCTCAAGAACGTGGCACGATTCTCAGGGTTTTCAATTTATATGTTTTCTTATATACCCAAATAGTCTAACCCATATTTAAGAGTAAAACAACAGATACCATCTTGGTTTGAGTGTTAATTTGCCTTTTGAAGTATTCTACAAATTCACAGAATTACAGAATAATCTGAGTTGGAGGTAACCCAGAGAGATGGTTGAGTCCAGCTCTTAAGTGAATGGCTCATACCGGGGTGGAATGCAAAATCTTGGTGTTATCAGGACTGTGCTCTAATGAACTGAGTTAATCTGGGCCAATTTCTGCTCTGATCAGGGTTCTTATTTTACTGTTCTATCTCTGTCCCTGCCATGTGAACAGCCATGATCCAAACCAGAGTGGTACAACCAAAAAAATCCAGACTATCTTTAAAACACACTCATGAGGTTAGAATTTCTATGAAGTTAATAACAATTTGGATTAATTTTGTCTTCTGTGAAAACAAAAAGAATGGTTTTGCTCAGCATATGTTTAATGTTTCTGACAGAAAAAAATAGAAATTAAATGCACTTTTTCCTCTTCCACTAAAACGTATTTAACATTTTCCTCTGCAGTCCTAAGGCTTCCTGAACCCTGTGGAGACCCTCTGTTTCTTTCCATAAGGATCTTTTTTGACCATTTTTCAAATGTCCAGCCATACTGTCTGTATCTTTAAACCTCAGTTACATGAATATACCTTCCTAACACTAGTGCTGGCTGCCTCTGCCAGGCTTCACTGATCTACGTTACACATCCTAGTCTCTATCAAAAAATGCCACATGATAAATTTCATGAAATTTAGTGTACAGTAGGATTCTGAGAGATACAGCTTACAGGAATCCTGTGGAAATCAGTCCTATTCCTTTATTTTCTATACAGGGATCAGCAAGTTGAGCCAAGCTTCTAAAAGATTTTCTAGGATGGAAAGTCATGCTACTTTAATAAAGCTAAAGTCAAGACTATTCCAAAATATGTGCATAAGTTTAGCTGCATGAAACATGAATTTTGTCTATGCTTGTAATGAGGTTTTTTCATGTGACTGACCTTTGCACAAAAACCTACAGGAATATCTGCAAAAACTAATAGAATTTATCCAAGAATTTCACATTTTCTACTTTTTTTAGTTTAAAAGTAAGATGAATATTTTTTACTATTGAATACACATTACAATATATTACAGTTTAACATATTTGCAGAGGCTGTCACTCCTCACTATGTATTCATGTCTTTTTGAGAAGACAGGGCTTAGAATCTGACTAATTTTGATTTTTCCTACCAGTCAGCTTTGTAAACCTTATACTTTATATGCTTTACTTATATAAGAGGTGTCCAGGCTTCTTTTGAGGAACAGTGATGGTAATTCTTGAACTAAAGTACTATTGTAACTTCTAAGCATGACAAGTTTTCTGGTGAAAACTTTTATACATGTTGTTTTCAAAATTCAGAAAGAAGAAATATAAATTTTAAAATGTATCTAAGGTAAATTGCAAGAAAATGTAGCTAAAATTAAGTTTTACTGATGATGATGAGGATGACAATGATAATTATTTATTTTTTTAAATCTCATCAATATTAGTAGAAACCTGTGTTGCTGTACTCTGTGTATCAAGATTCTTCTGTACACAAACACTTTTACAGGAGAGGAAAAGTTTAGGGCTTCTTCCTAAAGAATGGTAATTTTGCACTGATAGTATAAGGAAAGCAGCTCCTCTCCTGGAATAACTCCAGCCACATTGATTTCCAAGGACCTGATCGAGCACTCAGAAGTAGAATCAGTATAAAGCAGAAGGAAGAAAAACAGAGTTAGGGAGTTGCAAAAAAAAAAAAAAAGGAGCTAAGAAATAACTGAAAATCAAAATTACAAAGTATTTACCTGTGTCAAATAAAACCTACTTTTTTCCTAGGCTATGTTCTTAGTCAATGATAAATCTCTTTTTATTTCAGGTTTCTGATTTGGGGATGAAATGCTTGTCCTAGTGATTTTAAATTATCTATTATGGATTTTTTTCCCACCTATATATAAAATCTAAGTTATCAGTTCTTACTGTTTTAAAGCATAAAGGACCTCGGGTCTTCTCTAGGTATTGCCCAAATTGCTATTGTCTCCCATCTTACCTTTACAATGCCTCTTATTTGATTAGCAAATAAAAGAACTTGAGTCTTACCAGCAGTTTAAATAAATTATAATTTTTAAGTGCTTTTTACTCCAGCAGGATTTCTATTTGGGTTTCAGCAGGATGGAATTTACTTAAGAACCAAAGTCTTATTGCGAAAACTCAGTTTTTTTTGATTTAAACATCTCCCAGTGGCTTTCTGCTGTGAAAATGGAGCCTGCTAACAATGAAAATCTTGGTTCATGCCAGAAATCTCCAGCAAGAACTTTACTGTGCATGTGATATAATGGAATTCATGATGCTAGATGTAAAGCTCATTTTATTAGATTATTATGTTCTTGGTGAGGCAAAACATAATTCAGCTGAATTAATATTTTCCAGTTTTATCTATGGGTAATTTGGAAAAAAAATATTTTTCCTTTTTAGGAATTTTTTCTCTACCAAAAATTTAAGAAAGGGACATTTTTGTTTCTAGTGCACTGATATCTTTTAAATTACTATTAATTTCAGACAAGAGTCCTGAAATTGAATGTTCCGGAATGTGGAGAGCACCTTTTGAATATATCAGGGAAAAGGCAGCTTATTGTGGTATGACTGGACAGGTTAGCAAGGAAAAAAGGAAGAAATTCATACATATAATATGAGAATCATAAGGGAAGAAGAAACAGGAAAGATTGCTAATTCTAATGCAACTTATGAGTAACAAGACTTTGTGCTATTTAACATGTACAGCCTTGCATATTCTCTACTTGAAAAATCACTGTATGGCAGAATCCCTACATACTCTCTAGATCAAATACAAGATTTATAAAAGCTGGCATTTTCTATCAGCTTTAGAAGACACCTTCAAAAGTCAAGGATGTGATCTTTTACCAGTCTCTTCCTGAAGACTGTTTCAAATATAAATTGTGTAAGCCTTTTAACTGTACTTGTAATTCTGATGGAAATGGAAATGAGTAGTTTTACAAGCTTGAGTTTAAAAACAACTTAACTGCTAGAAAAGGGTTATTTATTCACACACATGACACAGAAAATGCTTTGGATTAAAGTACTTTCATTACAAAAGAGTTGGAAAGGTAAAATAAAATTAGGTTCAGCTAGATCATTTTAATGTTTGATTATAACCCACTGAACTGGGATAAAAATTTTTGTGCCAGCACTGGTGATAATAGGGTTACATACCCTCTGTAAAATAAAATGTGAAATTTACATGCAAAGTGGTGTGTTCTCCTGCTGCACACATATAATTCCCATTAGCATTAATGGGAAATATACGTGCCTATCAAAAAGAAAATAGACCCCATTAAATTCCCAACCATCATGTCAGTTTCTGACGTCTTCTAATATGATCTATGATCATACAGCAAAAAATAATTAATAACTCAGCTCAAATACACTGGGTTTCATATGTAGATCTCAAAGGATTTTATTAAGAATAAGTCCATGCAACTCAAAGATACCTGTGAGGAAAGTGGAACTTCAGTTATGCCTGTGGCAATCAATGCCTGGCAGACATACCCCAAAATCTCTGCAACAGAAACTGAAAGAAAAAGAGCATCGAAATCAACACAGGCGAATATAGCACAACTCATCACAGATCAAGCATGTTTTACACAAAACTAGCTTCTCTCTAAAAAGAAACCCCTGCTGGATTTGCCCTGGCTAAGTTCCAAATGGCCATCCAGCTTCTCACATTCCTCCTTCACGGGATGGTGCAGGGGGTGGAGGTGAATATGAATAGAAAACCTGTTGATTCAGATAAAGACAGGAAAATTGCTTACAAATTAGTGCAACGGGCAAAAGAGACTAACTTGGGCAAAAATTAATTTATAGGGAATTAAAATAGATTTGGGTGGCGAAAAATGAAGACACCCATTAAAACAACACCTTTCCTCTCCACTTCCTCCACCCCAACTTCACACTTTTATTCCTGACTTTTCCTCACTGCCCCAAGTAGCACAGAGGGGATAGAGGGTGGAGGGGGCTACAGTTTCTCTCTGCAGATCCTTTCTACGTCCATTTTTCCTCTGCTCCAATGTGGGCTCTCCATGGGCTGCAGATCTTTAATGAAATACCCTCCTGCTCCAGCATGGGATCCTCCCAAGGCTGCAGCAGAAATACCTGCTGTGGCACCTAAGCGCCTCCTTTGCTTGTGCCTTTGCCTTTGCCTTTGCCTGTGCCTTTGCCTTTGCCTTTGCCTTTGCCTGTGCCTTTGCCCCCTGCTCCTGCTCCTGCTCCTGCTCCTGCTGCAATGGATCTGCTGGCACCTACCAGGCCCCAGGCCCCTGGCCCCTGGTCTCTTACCACAGAGGCCACTTCTGCAGCCCTTCTGCTACCAACACCTTGGACATTTAAAGCCAATACAGAAGCACAGCACGTAGATCAGGATTTCTGCATTGTGCCAGGTAGATGTATTCCTTAAAGCAGCTGGACCTACTTCTGGCTGGACCCACTTTCCAACTAAGGCTGAAGTTTTCAACTTAAAAAATTTTGTAAGTATCTGGTCAAATACACCTTCCAAGAGGCTGAAAATCCCGTGTATATTTTATGCCCACAGGTTTCCAGTCCTTTGCTCAACCTGACTCACAAAGTAATCTGTTCTAAACATACACAGTTCTTACCAGTAAATTTAATTTTTCACTGGTTAAAACCAGAGCATTTCCAATGTGAATATGTCTTGTGTAAAGGACTGTGACACTAAAGTCTTATCCTGAAGTAATGTAACTGCAACTGGATGAGCTGACTGCTATTAGAGTATATAAGGTGTAGTAAATAGGCATTCTGGTTCACATCACTGACAATGAAGAGAAAGCATATCTAGATGAGAGATGGAACTAAGTAATTTGGCAGGAAACATGGAAAATTAAATGGGTTCCTGTGATTTTTTTCAGACATGAGAGAAAATATGATGTCATTTGTGCTATTAAATATAAAAAGATAATCTATAAAAACATATCCACAGAATATAAAAGCAAAAATAACTGATTGTTCAGAAAAGTCTGATCATCCAACAATATTTAATATTTAAATGTTCCTTTGTGTGTAATCCTGTAAGTCTAATTCTGACTCTACTGTGAAATATAGAAAAAGTGAAAGCATTTGCTTCATAGATTTTATGTTATATTTACATACCTGCAGATTATCTGAAACAGACCAAAATCGAGAGAAAACTTCACTAAACTGTGAGTTCAAATCTTGTGTTATTTTTGTATTTTTCTCTTTCCTTTGCTGTATCTTTTTCACATTATATAGATTTTTACATTTTATCATTTATAACAGAGTAAAACCCAAATGTCTTAGGGCAAGAATCTATGAAGTAGGCAATGTCCCAGGAAGAGAGAGTTATTTCCTTTCTTCGCCATCTTAGCCTTCAAGGAATTGATTTTAAGGGCATGACAAAAATAGCTCAGGAAATAGGTCCAGGCTCTGATGTAACACAGCAGTTCTGTGATTTCAGCAGACATATGCCAATTCACACCTGCCAGGAAATCTGGCCTTCACCCCTGAAGTGGCAATTACAAGATGTATATTGCTTCATGATGAGATTTATATTATCAAGCACATTCTGTGGAGTTTTCCTTGCTAGCTTCAGGGGAATAGATATTTACAGATGAGTCATTGACATGTCTTGAGCTATCACAGAATCTCCAGAGAATCATCAACCTTTTCTTCACAGCAGCAAAGGTAAGAGAAGTCACATTTTCAGGTCTAAAATGTTGCTGGTTTATTGGAGATCATGTCCTCTACATCCCTTCAGCTCTTCAATTATTATATTTGGATAATGCTTTTATGCATATATATCAAGCTTCCATTCCAAATTGTTTATGTGACTATGTTATGATTCATCATTATTTTACTTAAAAATAAAAAAGGACAAAAACTGGATTGTGTAAAAAATCTGCAAAACACCACAAAGACACAATGAAAGAATACAAGGAAGTCAAAAAAGACAGAACTGAAAGGTTTTAAGAAATGTTGAAAGTCCTCATTCAAATGTTTCCCAGCATTGAAATAATGATCTGATATTATATTTGTACCTGTTTTCTCTGTAAAGGTCTTCATAACCTTTTCTCCTTTGTAGTTCAACATTGTTAAATCACTTACAGAAAAAACTGCAGCCACAAGTGTCAATGAAAATGTATATCCTTTGACAAATTCCAATGTACATCTGGATTATTTCCTTCAGATTTTCAAGTCTGTAATAGTGGATTTGGCAATAAAATGCAATGGTGTTCAGGTGCAGCTATTGTTCAAGCAGCATATGTGCCAGAAAAAATTATGAATCTTTTACTATATGTTGAAGTACATGTTCTTCTTCCCCTCTCAATGCAAAACTTTAAATTAAGATTAAACAATGTGTTGCCCAATTTTTCTCAAAGCCATATGAAATAAATGGCAATTGTATATTATTTTTACCCAAACATACTTATTTCCCCAAATAACTGACAAAAAAGAACTATTGGAACAGGTGAAAAGTTGCCTAAAAGTCTCAAAGCAATTGTTGTTTGCCTGTAAAATAGAATTTTAGAGACTAATGGGTCACATAAGCAATCCTATTCTACTTATGACAGAAAGAGTAAAACAAAACTCAATGTAAAACAAGCCCTTAGGTGACTAAAAGCAGCTTGATTTATAATTTGGAGTATTGTGAGCCCAAGTCAGGCGTGGATTTTGGCCTGATCCAACCTGTTATTTGACTATAACTTCTCACTTTTTATCTGCTATGAGGCTCTAATTTTCATTGATAAAAACTAAAATTATTTTTTTTCCGAATACTGAAGAAAAGAAAAGCAAAATTGGAAACTTTGCAATTTGTCATATTAATGAATGGAGTATAATTAATAGCAGGAAAGAACTGAGACAGTACAATTGTTCAATTCATCACAATATGAGTAAGTCCATTTAGTGAAGCAGAAGAGAGGAAAATTACAGGCTTCAGAAATATGTGAATTCATATGACCATCATGAGAGTCTAATATTTGTATGAATAAAAATAATAACTGTTCTGGATAATGGAAGAAACAAGCAGGTAGATATGCAGCATTAACATATAGAGCAGAATTGTGGAAAAAAATGCCAATTAGAAGCTCCACACTTTAAAGCTATACCAAGCAAAACTAACCTTAGGGTGTTACAAAATGTCTCACAAGCTTTGCAATTATCCATAAAATAGCATGCTATCCATTAGGAAATTGAAAAATGTGTTTAAAACTCTGTTTCTTCTGGATTGATGTTTTTGCCTTCATTGATGTGTAGTCTCTTGAATTACCTACCTAAGCATTTTCTGAAAAAAAGAAAATTCCCAGGAAAAGGAGAATGAGGACTAAGAGAAAAGAGAAAATTATTTCATTAAAACCTTCTCTTTTATTTTTATCTGAAAATGTAGCAGTTAAAATAGTTGCTGAAAGATAAGAAGTGGAATTAATTTCTTTTCTATGTGAAAGATTGTATCTGGCACCTCCTGGAAGTGCCCTCTCATCCAGAGTTGAGCTAAGAGGAAAGGTATTTCTAAAACTTTTTTTCAAGGCTTTTCCATTTTTTACAACATAAAGCAGAAGATTTATCAGACCAAACCAGAGCAAATGACCAGAATTCTCCTGTCCTGTGACTGTTGTCTGTAAGAATGGAGATGAAATTTTAAATTCTGCTCCAGGAAGAAGTTTGTGGTTTTAAAGCAGTTTTATTGAATTATTGAACAGTTTTATTTATTGAACAGTGAATATTTGCATAGTTGCTCAGCAAGGACTGTCATTGTAATCTTGACTATCATGGGTGATTGTGGAAACCGTGAGCCTACAAAATCCTGGCTGTATTCTTTATCTCTGTCTTTTCCTTGATGAAAAACTTTGCTATTTTTTCACATGTCTCTAGGATTAGACGAAACAGCAGAATTTTGATTTGTACTGAGTTACCTATGGGGTGGAGAGGTTAAGGAGCCCTTCAGCCCCTGTATCTTGCTCCAGGTTTAAAATATACTTAGTATCCTGTGGCAAATTATAACTATAAAATTATGATTTCATGTGGTACAAGAGGAAATCCTTACTCTTACTCCACTAATTGTCAAAAAAAAGGATTCAAGTTATGCCATTTAGCATTTTAATTGCAGGCTTTGTTCTTGGTGTGCATTAATTTTATGCTGTATTATGTTCTTGTAATAATTTTCCCATGAAATGAAGTATTGGGGAATGGAAAATATAGCTTCTTATGTACAATATTCTATGAATCTGAATAATGTACTCTAGTACATTGACCTTTTTTATATTCTGTAATTTGACTGAATGGTCATTGCACTTTTCCCTCATTAACAAACTGAATAACCAATTGCTGAATTGATGACATGGGCATGAAGTCAAGAAACAGAATAATGAAATAGTCACAGCAGCATATTATATAGATGACTGTGTCTAAGAGAACACATGAGCCACTAAATCTCAGAATCAGCGAGAGGGACTGGACTAAGAGCAGAAATTGCACAAGACAGAAAACCTTTTCATGACAGTAGAGCTAGCTTAGCCTATTCCTATTTAGCCCTTGTAAAATTCTATTGCCATATAAAACATTAGAGCAAGTAAAATATTAAGGTGTAATTTAAATAATAAACACATCACTAGACTAGACAAGGCTTAAAGTTTCTTTAACAAAGAACTTAACATCAAATATTTATAAGCGGATTTAATGTCTAATGAACTGACAGTCATCGTATACACACAATAGTACAATGATGGAAGTAATACAAATTAGCCAGAGAACACCATTGTCTAGGCCTACCCTTTCAACCAGACTATAGCCACAAGGACAGTGTTTTCCTCATAATTCTCTCCTAGTATCATGAAAGATAATGTACATATTAGAATTGAGAAAATTAGGTCACAAGAAGATTAAAGAGATGTTATAGTAGTATGCTATAGAGCAGAGAGCATTGCTGTCCTGCTGGATTCAGTTTGTAGTTGATTGCAGTAAACATTGCTTAACTGTTTATACTCAGCTTTAAAAATACTTACAGTAACTTTGTACTTCTGATTTCTGTACATGGTCTTCTCCAGCATCTAGTAGGGAGTCTTTCTGATAATGATTATCTTCCTTACTAAAGCCATGAGATTCATAAAGAAGGATAGTATGCAAGCTCGTGATAACCTCTTATCAGCTTTCTAGCCAGGATTGTACTTTTTCACCTGGAGGAAGAATAAAGTACCTTTAGTCCAGGATAAAAAGGAAGTTCTGAAAATTTTCAACTAAATAGGAACTCTTGCTTCAGTAATGTTATTTTTAAGATGCTGCATTTCACCAGCCCAGCTGGAATTTGTTCCACAGATCTGCACGGGGCTACTTTAAGCTTGTATTAACATAGTTCCTCCTCACACCAGGAAGAAAGACTATTTGTGATTATTTACAGTCCTAAGTAACAACTAGACAATTTTTACAGTTAGGTAATTCTTACAGTTAGGTTTTTTCCTGATTGCTATCATCCGAACTCCAGGTAGAGTGAAACAGAACAAGAAATTTTCCTCTTTCTACCAGTTTACATAAAACAGCTGAAAATTCATTTTTTAGGTTTCATCATTCATTTTGATGTTCTTTCCTTTTTTCCCAAGAAAGAAGTATATTTAAAATTTCGAGAACAGCCTCAGAGGTAAGTCATATCCAAATATTTTTCTGTAAAAATAAAATATGTACAGTGTCAGTGGTATTTGGCTGTGGATTGATGATGTATTGCACAAGGATATAGAGACATCATTACTATAAAACTTGTAACATTGTAGTTTAGGGTATATTTAACCTTTAATACAAATCATTTTTATTTCCCCTGTTTGGAATTCAAAGCACTTTTATATATATATATATATTTAGTTTGTTTTCAGTTTTTTTCCTTATGTTTGCATTTACTGTGGCTGCTACAATTTTTTTCCTTTAACAGAACTAGAATAGTGGACTTGATTGCAAACAACAAGAGTAATACAAAGAACTTCAAAAAGCACCAGCTTAAGTTGAATAGATTTCAGAGTAAATGAGTCTGAAATTGGGCTTTCAATGGGAACTGGTAAAAATATACTTTACATTGGAACTATCATCCAAATCAATCTTGAGAAAAGGCTAAGTCTGTAATTTAAACTCACAAAACTTCCCAGAAAACAGACTGGCACAAATACCCTGAAATTCCAGTTTCTGATTTTTCTCTGTACTTCCTTGATATGTCTCTCTCCCTCATTCAGGTCCTATACCATGATTAGTCTCTGATTTCTTTCATGTATATAGGCATTGGAGAGAATTTGCCTTCTGAGAATGTTTTCTGAGTAATGGAAATGCATAGTGGTTTTCTGTTATGTGTGACTAGTTGCTTGATCTTCATTCCAAAAACAAAAGGTTCTCTGGAGACACCAAGGATTAACATTTACTTAAATGTCCTTCCAGCAGCAAAGGTAACATTTGGTCTTGGTAATCTGCCCTTTGCAAGCGTGCTGCCTACCAGTACAATGACTTTATCAAGAGGCATTCCTCTGATCCATATCTGACTCCAGAGGCAGTGGGATTTGGTGGCTGGGCAGAGACCCAGACTGCTGATCCGCCAGCCAAAATTTGTGTACTCTGAGACGAAGACCTCTTGGCTCTGAGTTATAATTGAGTCAGAACTGCAGCAAATTAGGCAAAGACCTTGAAAAATGAAGCCATTAAAAGCCTCACAACAGCTGAAGAGGTAATAAAAGGAAGGTAATTTAGCAATAGGTGCTAGAGAAAAGGAAGTCAGGGAGCTATTCCGAACAATAGGTGTCTGGCTTTGAAGCTTTGATGTTTCAACAATATTCAGTTAATTCAGGGCTGAGGAGGTTAACTATGAAATTCTATCACTGAAATTTGAGGAGTCCTCCTCCAAACAAAAATTAAACTTTAAGTTTCTTTCTTTATTTATTTTTCTTTCTTTTTCTTTCTCTCTTTTTTCTTTTTCTCTCTTTCTCTTCTTTCTTTTTCTCTTTCATTTTCCTTTTTCTTTTTCCCTTCTTTCTCTTATTTGGTTTTTTGGGGTTTTTTGGTTTTTTTTTTTTTTTTTTTTTTTTGGTTTTTTCTGATCAGAGGCTTTGAAGAGCAAACAAGAACTTGGGGAGTTTGCAAGTCTACCTAAGTTTCAATATTTCAATAAAGCAATTTCAAAAGAGCATGAAATTGTTGCCATAATTATTGTGCTGATAGGGAAGATGTGTGCTAAAATCTTTACAAGCAATTCCACAGGTGAAGGGATGGATATTAACATCTTTGGAATGGGTCTTAACGTCTCTAACTTGAAGCAGCAGGTTTGTTACAAAGCCCAGACAGCTTAGCTCCTGAAATGGACCAGTGTGTCTGCACCAGGCTGAGTTCCTGAGCTTTGGGGTAAAATGACGGGTTCAAGGCGAGACACGTGGGAGGCTGTTTGGGAAGGCTGGACCTTCCCAGTACCTCAGCCAGTGGGGAAAGAAGAGGACAACTTGCAGACAGGAGTTTAGGATCAAACGAGGCTGTGCCCTCCAAAACCTTGAGAAAACCCCAGAGGCATGTACCCCAATGGACTCTCTCCCTTTATTCTAATAAGTTTGCAGGACTTCTCTGTCTTGCTTTTGGACACTGGCTTTCATAGTGTGATTTTGCATACAGTGCTAATTACTGTTAGCTGAGCATAGAAGTCAGTAGATGAAGCTGAACAGAGTGGTTAGTTTCATACCTGGAAATGTACTAGAGAACTCAAAATATCCCCAGCAGAGTGACATGTATTCTGGTCCTCTACAGAAAGGAGTAGTGAGCCTTCTGCAGGCAAAGCTCCTCCAAAATTGGTGGACAGAAAAGCTGCAGGCCGCAAAAGGTCTCACAGCCAGCATATGAACTATTGAGCAGAGGCTGATCTCATGCTTTGCCAGAAGTCCCAAACCATGAAGCATGGAATAAAGTAGATGCTGCTGTCAGAAAAAGAACAAAACCCTTCAGACCTCTGTATTAAAAAATCAGACTAAAAACAAGAACACACAATGTCCAGCAACACAATAATTTCTCTTAAAATTTCTATGAAAATCGAAAATTTTTCAAGAAGTTGAGTACCACAGCTGCTTTATTGGTAAATGGGAATTAGAAACTTGTGACAAACTAGGTAATTCAAGACTGCACCTAATTTGCAGAAATGGGAAAGATCTATAATGGATTGTGCAGCTAAAACCAAGAGATGATTCACATATTGCATAAAAATGGATCATCAGCCCAATGGAATTCTTCACAGCAGGACTGGTGAGCACTGCTAAAATATCATGTCAGTCAAGGAGTATGATACAAAACCCATGAATTAACATTAATTAATGTCATGCTGCTACACCAGCTACCAAAACACCAAAATTGGTAATACTAATACTTGGAGGAGACAACAGTAATAAAGGGTAAATAGATGAAATGTGACCTTTCAAATGATGCACTTCTTACTTCCTAAGGGACTCTACCTTGTAAATGTATAGGTCAAGTGTGGAGGACAAGAACAAAGCATTTTTTGTCTCAATATTTTGACTGTTATGACAGGAAAGATGTGATTGGAAAACAAGGTCCTCTGAAGGTGGGGCAGAGCTGTTTGTTGAGCCAACCTCCTGCTCCACCTTGAGACTCATGTTCAGTCCCCTGTCCTCGACTCACTTCCTGGAGGAGGGCTCCAAGGTTGGTAGCATGTGTGTGAACAGGGAGAAAAATCCTGTTCACATATTCAGTGTATACCAGGCTAACTATAAAAGGAAGCCAATCCATCCCTGTCCACCACTAGTCTGGACTTGATTTCTGTCTTTCAGGCTTTTTCTCTCAACTGCTAATCTTCATACAGTACCAATACTGAAATACTCACACCTTTTCATAGAGGACATACCTGAATGACCCTGACTTACAAGAGCTAGCACCTACAAGTCATGTATCTGCCCTCTACCTTCCATCTGTCATTCATTTACAGTAAGATTATAACTGTTCTGAAGTGTAGAGTATTTTTTACATTATAATCTAAACTAGTAAAAGAGACCTTGATCCCAAAGGTGGCCCTAAAATATCACTGTAAACAATTACAGTGTCAGGAGAAAACACATTTTTCCCCATACTTTTTTCAGTGTTGGGCATCCATTACTCACTATGTGTCAGACGAAGCAGAGGGGAATCTAGGTCTCTGAATGGAATTACCAAACATAAAGCAACATGATTCTCTAGAGAAGAAATTGAAACTTATTGTATCAATCTACTTTTGGTAATTTTGTTTACTGTTTAGTTGAAATTGAAGGGAAGGGAGAAAAAAGGCACAAATCTGTTGAGCACTGTCAGTTCCACAAAACTTGATGAAGGAATTGCAAATCTCACATGACTACATTGTAAATCTCATTGTACAAATCTCTGTTTTCTTCAATCCAAGGATTTGAGGAACAATTTGCAGAAAGTACTTTAATGACCTGAGGGAAGGACTTCATGGGTGCATTTTATATTTGTTATATGTTTCATTAGATTTGTTGTGAGTTGGAGTTTAGGAGATTTTTAAGAGTTTTGTAATATTTCCATGAAGAAAGAGTAAGTTATCTGATTTCTCTTCCTCCCCAGTTTAGGATATGTAAGCTTTACAGCAAATTTCACATTTAAATGTACGAAGATATTTCTTTACAGATATTTCAGTTTAAGACAGAAAGCAGCTGTGTCTGCACCAGTTCTGTCTTCCAGACAATCTTACAGGATAAACCTATGTTCACTAAATTATAAGATGAAAGTTACCTCTGTCTCGCTTCAGTTACATTTACATCTATGTAGTTCATAGAAATAATTCCTTAAAACATTTTGAACAGTGCAGACTTAAAAAGCTTTACCCTCATTGTTATAACTGGCAGAAAATTTAGAATTAATATTTTTCTTCTTTCAACTGTTACTTAACTACCTAAGTGCTGTTATGCTTTTTAATATCGAGTATTCAAAAAATCCTATTATTTCATGGAAGTTAAAAACAATGTCACTCAGAATTAAAACAAAAGAGGGACAGTCCTGTCACCATTCACCTGGCTCACCTTTCAGCTGAACCTGAATCCCATCTAAGCAATTGAGTGGAGAAGGGCAACTTCAGATCTGGCTGAGATCATCTGTCTTCCATTTCTTGGAAGCAGGCTTCAGAATCTGATAAGTAATGTCAGCAAATGCCTTTTAATACATCTCTCAGCTATGACATGCCTCTAACTTAATTGCCTAACAGAGATCAGCAGGACTGGCAGGTTCAGAAGTACTCTGATCTCAGGAACCAAGATAAGAAGCACCCTAGCACACTGGTAGCAGAGTGGAAATGTAAAGGGAAGTGGTACTTTGAGGACAGCACAATTTATGTGTGCATGTATCCAACAGTCAAGGGTGTTCAGCAGTCACCTCAGGTGGGGGAGACTGAGTGCACCACTCCATGCCAGGAATTAAATATTTTGAGGGATGGAGGAATTAAGTACTGGATTAGTTGACACTGTTTATAGCAGAGCTGTGGCAAGACAGTTTCAAGCCTATTCAATTATTAATAAAAGGCAGAAAGGTTTCAGCAAGAGAGTGAGAAACCACCCAGCAGTTTGGTGGTTTCAATATACAAGCCTCATTTTTGATCACTCAGGACATGAATTCAAATCTGTATCTCCTATACCAGAACATTAATAAAAATATTTATTCCAAAAGCTATTTTGCTGTTTGGAAGTAGGTGTAGATACTGAATGACAGAAGGAATTTCATAATACAAAGGAACAGCATTCATTTAGTCATCACTGAGACCTCTCCTTTGCATTTCACTGGTGCTGAGCAGATTATTGAGACTCCCATTCTGAATCTAATCCAATTCCCTGTGCACTTTATGCACAACAGGTGGCTGCACTTACATCATGTGTAGGTACTCATTTTAGGACCTCCAACCTTTAATAACCTGTAATCAGGTGAAACTGGCAGGCTTTGCATCCTGCAAGACTTCCATCTGATTTGTTTGCAAGAAAATCACTTTTCCTTCAAAACCGAAATTTCCTCCAGAAACATGAATGAGTGTTTCCCAATCAGTTCCCCTCTAGAGGGCAAAAGCATCTTTGCTTATATGCAGTGTATTGTGTGGAGCAGTCCCTGCTCAGCCGTGCCCACAGCAAATGCAGATGAAGACAGGCACTCATATCCATAGCCAAGCACACGCACATGGAATAGCACCAGTTTAGTTACAGACAGCGAGGCACACTAACTCATACAGCATATGAAACTCAGAGTTTTATCTGCCAGACTTTTTGGTCCTAGAGGTGCAAAAAGAAATGTATTATAGCATTTTATAGTGCAGAGTTCTGCTTTGGGATTTTTTTGTCTCTTGTTTTAATGTATTTACCAAACAATATTTAAATCAACGCTGCATTCTGTGCAAGGAGAGAAAGGCACTGCTGTCTCCGGGGGGAGTTTTCCATCGATTATGCCAGAGAAGAGGAAGAATGTGTATCAGCTAGATCATGTTCCCTGTTCTAAAAAAGCAGATGCAACTCTGGTTTATGCACTGAGCAGAAAATTAGTATGAGGTAATGCTATCATAAATAATTTCTTAAAGCACCTCAGTGATATGGAGGTTGAAATTTCAAAAATAAAAAGGAGAAAGGCCTGTAAATGTAAAAGCATGGTGAAGGGTAGCTTTTAAAGTAATTGAGGATTTTTCATTGGATGGTAGCTTTCTACAGTACATTATTTAAAATCTAAGTGTGGAGTACCCTCTAGCTGATATCTGAAGATCAAAGCTGCTATTAGATATTTTTTTTAACTGCTGTAAAGGTTCAGCTATTATAAAGGAAATTAAAGGAACTAATGGAACAAATAACATAAAATAGTCTTCCATCGAACATAGCAGATCAGTGTAACTTGTGAAAGGGTGTTTGTTACAAAAGGCCCCAAAGCTTTTAAATGCATTTTTGGTCTAAAAATTGAATTTCAGGTAGCACAGTTGAAAAATCAAACATTGACTTTAATAAGTGCCATTAAAGATTCACCATTGTTATTGTCAGGATTTATTCTCTCTTCTCTCTGGAAACTAAATTTGAAGCTGAAATGCAAAGGAAACAAGCTACTGCGCTCTGGACAAGGACTCTTTGATCACAGAGGCAAACACAAAATGGCTTATTAATGATTGCAGCTCAGTGCTCTGCCTGACCTCAGGGCAAGCAGATTTTTTAGAATAAGCCTCAATTACATGATATAGTTTAACCCTTGATGGGAAGGCAATTTTTGGGTCTGTAACCTACCGTAATTTGACAGGAGGCCACAGCAGCCATTCAAAGTGTCAGCCAAATATGCGGCTCTGCAGGATTAGCACGCTGTCATCAAAGACAGTACAGCAGTGCCTGGCTCTGCTGTTGGACTGGAGAACTCTTGGATGGTGTTACACGTTAGCCGGTAAATTAATGAACCATGAAGACAGTCTGGTTTACCTCCTGAATGAGGCAAAACATCAAGCCACCTGTGAAATGACAGTATTGCTGTTTTCATGACGATTGCACTGAAATAAAGTCATTGGTACCTGATGAGATGCAATTAATTTTATAGATCTCTCCATTCACTCCACAGCTTAGCAGAAATGCCTCATCATAACAGGTCATAAGAAATGAACTAACAGCTCCAGTTCTTTATCTGGTTTTGACTAAGTCTAAAGTGAATCTTTGCAAACATACTCACATTTATTTGTAAACAGAATTGTTTTATCCTGAATGTCATGTTCATGGTCCTTTACAAGAGAAAATACAACAATCATGGAGCATAAAGCTTTGAAAATGATACATGAAAATTATACAACCACAAGATGCTGAAAGTTGGACTGGGACATCAGTTGTAGAGAAAAGAAAAAGCATTCTTTAAATGCTTTGAGTTTTTCTCTTTCACCTTGCTCTTTCCTTTTTCATTTTTCTAGTTCAGAAAGGTGACTCCTATATATGAAACCCTCAAAGACAGATACACAGAACCTGGCCCCAGATTTCACTATATTTATGAAGAGAAAAAGAGTAAATGTTAGACCATGAAACAACTTTAAGAGAAAAGAATTAAAAATTACATTTTTCCCCAGCTTAACTAACACAAACATTTAATATCTTTTCTTTCCTCTGCAACTGCAATTCATTTTCTTTAAATGAAAGAGGACAAGACACGTTTCTAATAAGGATGGAATATATTAAAAACATATTTATCATCTTTCATACACATGCAATTACACAGAGTTTGATGAGCAATTTTTCCATAAAACCATTAAACAGGATTGTCCAAAACACAAGGAAACATGGTAAAAATGTGGAAATGAACCACTGATTAATAAGTTATGTAGGAATTTGGAACCTTGTGGAATCTTTGTTGAGGTGAGAGACCAATTTTTTGAGTTGCCTTTATGTGATAAGAAAAAGGAAGCATTGTGGTGGGACAGCAGTCTGCAGAGCACTAACAGGCTGGATGGGCACAGAGGAATACAAATCAAGCAATTAGCTCCAAAGCAAGATATTGATTACAAAATTAGCCAAGGCACTAAGGGAACACAAGAGAATAATACTTATTAACCATTTATATGCCACTGCTGAGAATAAATAGCAAATAAGAAGACTTGGAATTGCTCATTTGTCTCAATCAGAATTTGAGAAACCTGGAGGATTAATGACGGAAATATTAAAATCAGTGGTTATATGCCATTACAAAAATAGCGTAGGGAAGACATAGGAGATATTCCTGGTCCAAAATGGTCCTTTTTTGAATTTTTAAATCATTGATAGGTTAGTGCCATTGATTTTGAATCTGTATAGATTATTTCCCCATCTTGTGCTTCTGCTTAGATTGACAACTCGCATCATTTACTGACTCACAGATGTGGGTCTTGTAAACCCAAAAGATTGGCTTCTCCCTGTATATATTAGTGCTTGTAGATAAAGTATGAGGAGAAGGGGAGGAAAACACCAAAATGCAGAAATTAGATTTAACACTCACCAGGAACGTTATGACACAAAGATAAATATATTTCATTTACCAAACTAAATACTACCTGGTTATGACACCTACAGGGATGCACAATGATGATTTGATTATGTCTGTTCTATAAACAGGATTAAATGAATGCAATACTCTAAACTGCTGCATGCATACTATACAGTCCCCCAAATACTTATGTTCATCAGGGAGGAGAAATACTTAAACACAAAAATATGAAATTAGTGAAAGGCACAACACTGGAAATTTGTCTAAGACAACTTTGAAGAAAAAAATTGATTAATTAAAAAATAGCAGTGAAATCATAAAGAAGGGTGATGCCTGATTTTAAAAAGTAGCTATTAACTAGAGAATAGAAAAAAGGTAGGCATTTAGTCAATAGTTAAGCTAATAACAATAAATACACAAATTATGTTAGAAATCATGGAAAATTCACAAGGAATGTGGAAAGGAAAATACTACATGTGGAAAAATCTATCATTATCAGACTGAAAATAAGGGCTTTTCTTCAAGGAAAATATGGATCAAAAAGGATCCTAGCAATAAAATTAACCAGCAACTTCAACATAGATACATAGATAGCATAGATAAATATGTCATTTATTTCAATGATAATGGAGAAGGAAACAAATTTTCCTTAAATACTTGTTATGCATTTGGGAAAGATACTCAGTATATATAATGCATATGTATCATATTATGATTATGAAATACATATTACTCAAAAGTCAAGAAAAAAATTTACATTTTGATATGACCAACAATACAGTTGTTCATGAATGAAGAGAGAATGAAAATAGAAGGGGTTTCCATGTTCAGACAGCTGATTTTGCCAAAGACTCAAGGATGCTACTGAATTGCCAGCTTCACACAAATTTTAAATTGAAAAGGAGCGTCTTCGTTGGGACTAATTCTCAGTAGAGTTCCTCTTGCTCCAGTGGTTGTGACCACTGGAACACTATGGCCATTCTTTGTAAGTTTGTACTTCTAAGAGAATGATGACAAATAGAAAATGTTCAAAGAAAAGTCATAAAATTAAAAAGAATAGTGCAGACCTTATCATACAGAGACAGATGTCAGGAGCACAGTACATTTGGTGAGTGTGTGATTCAGTCCCAGTCAGTGGGAGGGAGCATTTGTCATAAATTTCCATAACAACATTCACAGAAATGATTGATAGTACTTCTAAGAACTGACTCAGTGGGACATGATAATGACTTTCAGAAGTTTTAAAAGCCCAGTTTTCCAAGACTTTCAGACACAAATTGTCATTAAGTAAAAAGAAGATAGATACCCAGTGTTTTGGTGGTTTTTTTAATCATGCTAAGATATATAAAAATGCCAAAGTTTAGAATGACATATGTATCAATTTACAGAATAGCTCTATTGATATATAATAGCAGTATTAACAGAAAGAATTAAGGAAAGTATTTCTTTTGGATGGAGAACTGAGGAAGAGGAGGTCTGGAACTGTATGCAGGTTAACTATTCCTTGCTGCTGAGTGCCTCCTGTGTTGTAGATAACAGGATATGGTACATCATGTTGGGCAGCATCCATCCTGATTGGACCAGGGGTTCATTGGGCGTACTCTATTTCATAATCAGGTTTTCTCCTATCAGAAACTACCTACAGACTTTAGTTCCAGGCAATCTCTGCAATGTGAAAAGCACAGAAAACATACTGACAAGTCACCTAGACTGCTCAATTTTGGAGAATGCTCTGATCTAAAAGATAGTTTCAAAGCCAAAGAATCCATTACTAAATTTCTGTTATGAGAGCAACTTGGTGCTGATCTATCATGGTGCCTCTAAGAAGGAAAATCATGTCCAGCATTTGCTGTTTCAGCTACACTTGAAATAATCATTACTAATACAGGCTGAGAAAATACTCTTGCAATGCTCATTGAATGTAAAGACAGGTGAAGACATGTGAAGTTGGAGTTTTGTTCTAATAGGAAGAGCTACAGAGCACACCCAGGAATACCTGTCTACCTTCATTGATTTGTAGTTCTAGTTAAAGCTCTCTTTGAGTTTAAAGACTCCTGTTTTCTAGAATTCTATTACCTTCAGAGACAATTTCAGTTTTAGATGTTTTTTTTAACAGATGTCAAAATCCGTCATCAAGAACTTAGGCTTTCCCCAAATTTATCACCTATTGATTATCTGCAATAAATTGTAGGAAGGTCCAAAAGTTGCACTGTTTGTAAAAATACTTCTCTGACCACTTCCACTGAAAAATTTAATAAGGCAAATGGCACATGAGCAAAAATAATTCTGAATGTTGTATTGTAATATATCAGAATATTCACTGCACCACACCTATCAGGGGAATGAATGGTAAAAGTAACCTAATCAGAATGATATTAAGGACAGCAACACCTCCAGTTTGTATGTTAGGGGAGCAGATGAAACAATGTTCAGCATATAGACACAGCAGCACTCTAAACACTCCAACAGGAACCCTGGCATTCAGGCAATTAATCTGATAAGAGAGACAAAGGCCAGTGAGCAAATCCTTGGCAATTAGTGCTGTGTTCATATAAATACAATTATTCTAGGTGATTGTGACAAGAGAAAAAGGAGTGTATATTTTGTAAACATTCAGCTGAGACAAGATAGTTTATATATTTTTATTCCTAGAATGGAAAGGGAATTAGGCTTTTACATCCCAAGTCATCATATATAAATTTATACTGTTTTCCTCAGGGAGAAAAATAAGCAAACAAACCAAAATAAAGAAAATAAGGAAAGGTTAAAAAGTGTACAGTGGAATTCACTTCTGCTCTCTCATTGAAACACTGAACTGCTCCTAGCTATTAAGGTGTACAGGTATGAAAGACTCTTTCATGCAGTCCTCACATGTATTTGCATAATGTTTAGGCACAGAACCAATATTGTGTGACTAATTGCACAAAACACATAATGAATTCTAGACACTACTGGCTATAAAAAATAGTCAGGCAGTCAGCCACTTACTTTCTCCATGATGCCATAATACATCTCTCTTTGAAGTATCTCAGCTCTTGATCAAAAGAATCTGTAGGGTAAAAAATGTTCTCTTAAAATACTCAGCAAGACAAACTCTCTAAAATTTGCATCTATTTACTGATTATTTGTAAACAAGAAGAAAGCTGAAATTTAACATTTCCCAACACATTATTTAAATAGCTCTATCTAATATTAAGAGTCCTCTTTATCTCCTTAGCAGTCTCAGCATTTTTTCAAAGTGTTAATTGTACTGAAAATTCAATTCCTACATACTATTTTTCAATGTTTTTTCCAGGCTTGGTTGCAGGGATGAAGATATTCTTGTTAATGCACCATTGATGCTAAGGACGTGCCTAGTTTGACTTTGCATTAAGAACTGGTTCAATATTCTGGGCTGAGCAGTAATTCTTGGATGGGAATTTTGTTCCCTCCTACCAGGTAAATGGTTTCTTGTAAACTCAAGTGCTGCCACTATGCTTCACTGATGTGCTTGGAATGAGTTTGTGAGAAACAAGGAATAGGAGTAAAGTGTTCTACCAAGTATAGACAGGAATCAGAGATGCAGTTTCTTCAGAAAATCTTTTGCACTTATTACTCATATTACTGAGCTGCTGAGCTAAACAGACAGAAAGGGATGCAACTCAATCCCAGACAAACAGTACAGCAGTACAATGCTGTCTGCGCCAAAAAATAACAAGTATGATATAATGCCATCATAAACTCTTGAAAAATAAATCATATACCTTCTGAATTCTATTACTGTTTTCACACTTCAGTCCTCAGCACAGAAACTTCTATTTTTGCAGCACAATTTGCAGAAGGCAGTCACTGTATTTCTCAAGGTAATGGTGGTTTATATTACTTCTGTACTATACAGTAAATTCAGATTCAGTACCTTACAGTCTGATTTCACTGTTTGTATTATTCATCCCCATTGAAAACAAAATAGGATTTGTTGCAAATCCTAGGGAAATGACTCAAGGCTCTTTTTTAAGGAGTTTCAGATTCCAAGACTAAGATTTGCCACTGATGAATTCACTATAAACCAAGACACCTGTGCACAGAATATGTGACTACCCAGCCTCTATCCTCATGGATGTACCAGAGCCAATACTGATGGGTTTTATCTAGGTGCTTGCTGGTGCAATCTTCTACCTAGTGAAATCTTGCAGGGGGCTGTGTGGCCCTGAGACATTCCACTCAGCAGAAAGCGGGTGTAAGGTGTGTTTCCTTGCACACCATGGGAACAGGAGGAGGATGTTTCACAGTGAAGTCTTTTTGAGCAAATCCTGCTGGAACAGTAGAACCATGAGAGTTATCCAATACCTTGAAATGTATGTGACTGGATTGTTCAGTGAAAACAGGGCAGAGCTGGCCACTAATTGTCTTTACAGAACGAATGTTAGTATTTTAATAAATATTGACACAATTATCAGTGTTATCTTTCAGGAGTAGTATCTTTGTCTACTGTTCTGCCTTGAAAGACGCTATTATATAAATAATTTAAGCCAAAAAGGTATGATTATTCTAAATATAGTCTATCAATATAAAGTTGGCCAATAAAAGGAAAATCTCTGTCAGGATTGAATGTGAAAATAAGCTGGGTACAGGAAAAGTATTACAAAGAATAGTAAGCCTTTGATTTAAGTGTCTGAGTGCTTGCTATTAATGCCCTATCAGTCAAACCTGGATTTATTCAGACTGCTCCTGGCAGGGACATTTTCAGTAATTTGAACAACAAATTAATGGTATCTTTTATTTATACCAAGATACCAACTAGAATTTTCATTCCGATTAGATTCATGCCTGGGAGACTGTTCTGCAGTCTTTAAGTTTGTGTTTTCATACAATCAGCATATTAAAACAAATCTCTTTTTATCTCTGGAAAGTGGAAAATATTGGTGGTTTAATGGACTGATTGTTTAGAGAATTTTACTTTAAATGAAAAAACCTTTCAGATAGAGTTTCTTAAATGTCTCTTAAAAACTTATATTTTTATATTCTCCAGATATTTTCAATAGTTTCTAAAGAAACAGTATTATTTTGTGAAAATGTGGAAAGAATGAAGAAACAGTGGAAACTTTAGAAAAATGCAGTTTCAAGCTTTAAAAGTCATAGTTTGATGATTACTTTCAGCACAGTGATCTTTTATCTCTCTGATGTACAACATCATTTTTTCTGCTTTGTATCTCTAGAGACAGAGAGTTCTTTTATCAGCAGCACACTTTAAGTAGAACATTCTCCTATGCTGAACATTTTAAAGGACTCTTTTCTACGTTGATGATTTGTGGCTTCCAAAACACCAGGCATTTCTTCTGTTGGGAGGGTTTCATTTTAAGAATTAGAAGAGTTACCCTGTGTAGTTCTCCACAATAAAGGTGACAAGAGATGAAAATTCAAGTTATTCAATAAGCTCCTAGATGTCAAGGTCCGGATGCATGGTAAAGTACTCACAAACAAGAATAGCAGATGCTTGTAAGTCAAAACATTTATAATGTGGTTGTGTACAAATGTCCTTTTCTTGTCATTTTTTCCATAGGTAGCTTAGGTAACAATGTATTTGAACCCAGTTTCTTGTATACCTGACTGACTGCTGGAAGTGCTGTGCCAAAGAGAGAGATGGTCGGCTTTTTTTCACTCTGATGAAAATTTTGCAATAATTAGCTCAGGATGAAATACAACAGGTGTCAAACAATAGCAACAACAGAAAAAAAAGCAATACTGCATAATCAATATATACAATCAACAAATTTATGGGAAACAGTATTCATTCTGTATTTCTTTTCAATACTTGTTCATTTTTTGCACCCTTTTTAATAGAGATTTCTTGCTGTACCTTTTATAAGTGACCATTGCTACTCATACTTCTTACCCATCATGTTAAATGCACCTTGTATCAGCTTTTCCCTCAACAGAAGAAAATAGCTCAGCCTCTTCAGGTAGGAAGTAATACTATATCTTAAGTCACCTAAGAATCATGTAGCTGCCTGATGAAAATGTTACTATGTCTTAAAAAAATGATCTAACGCTATTCTAGGAAATATAATGTCATAACAAGGAGCAGGAAAGAAAAAGGGGCCAGCATACTATTTACTGCACTACAGAATTGGACAAAGGGTACCTGCTTTAGATCTTGGTGCTTTTTTCAACCTGTGCTTTTCTCAACTTTTCACTGAAAAATAACTCTCCCCTTATCCCTTCTATACCCTGAGAATTCCCAGATTATTTTCCTGGGACTTACAGGATTATGTCTCTGAAGCAAGGCTTCTTCTGGAATCCAAAAGCCTGAAAACAAAACCCTTAATTTCTGAAAAGGAGGAAAGTTTTGCCCGTACTGATTCCTATGGGTTTTGGATTACATACAAGGTAAATGCCTTGAATGCCTTGTAGCATGCATAGCAAGTTTCTTTTATTGTAGTCAGAGAAAAAAACCCAAAAAAGTTCATATTTAGCTCCTCAGAAGGATAAAACCCTTTTTTCCAAATCAGATATTTCATTATGTTTCAAAGAATCTTGAAAAAGTATTTGGTTGGGGTAGCGGATTTATCATGTGTGAACCCAGACTGGTGGAGTCAGATTCCTTTTACTTCGGAGCCAGTGCAGATATTTGATATTTTACTTTGCTCTGTGCTATAGCATGAATTTCAGGTTAAACTGGTCAGCTGGAACAGTGACATGGCTTTAAGTGCTACAATATTTTTTCTGGATTGCAGCTTGACAATACCTGCTGTAGCTGTATAGAAGGATTTTAGAATCTACATCCACTTAATTTGTTAGGAAATGACTGCAGCTAATATGAAAAACAGACAGAAAAACCGTGACCCTCCTTTCTTTGCTTAATCTTGTGTATCTGATAAAAGGTGTAATGAGTACTGCCTCCAAAGGTACCACGTATGTTTTTCTTATATAACAAAGGATGTCTGAGGCACATAAAAAGTCCCCAGCCAAGACACATTTATATATGGTTGGCTAAACAGGGGTTGAATTAAACCTTTGTTCTGGAAAGATAAGTTGAAATGAGGTGAACTTAAGAAGTATTTCCCTTAACTGTAAAGATATATTTGTCAACACAATGCAGTCAACTGAAATTTTATAGAATTTCACAAGATACAAAACTCCCATCCCCCAGAAAGTCTGAAAGGATTTTCTTACAAGATCAATGACACTCAATAATTGTTGCTGGGCAATACTCAATATTTTGCGGGAATCACACCTCAAATATTATGTTATGACTCAAATTATTTCTGCTTAAGCATCAATATAAATTTCATTTCCAAAATGATGAAAATCCATAGAAAAAATCAGATTCTATTGGAGAAATGCAACTCTGTAAGTGCTGGTGAAACACTAGAACAAGAGGCCCAGAGGCTGCAGATGCCCCATTCCTGGAAATGTTCAAGGTCAGGCTGGTCCCTGGGGGATTGGACTCAACAACCTTTAAGGTCCCTTTCATCCCAAGTCATTCTGCAATTCTGTGATTCATTTTAGGAGCAGAAGACATTAAGTGATAGGATGGGATGGACTTCGCTTAGTCCTCCCATCCATAGGGTTCTGTCACATTCCTTAAACACCACCTTGGTGCTTTCCTAGGACTTTTGGATCTGTCTAATAAATATCTTAATTTCAGAACCTTCCTTCTCTCACTGACTTTAGCAACTCCAGACAAATTCATGACTATAGTTATTCCTGGGAACAGATTCTTTGGTCTTCTGTCTCACTAGATACCAGTCTGAAGCAGCAACCTAAGTATTTTTATAAACTGATTGTCTGAGGAGGTGCAAATCATTCATTCCATCATTATGAGTGTGGCAGTAATGTCAGAAAAACTGTCTCATCCATAGCACATCAATCCAAACTGTTTTAAACAATGCAGGGCCCAAGGAGAAGGAATGTAGATTAGGGAAAACTACCACACAGAGAAGTTAAGGAGACAATGCAGAAGAAAGAGCTGACCACTTGTGTTTTAATCTGAGCAGCAGGGGAATGTTGAGTACAACTGGAAAAAAGGGCTTAATTTTGCTTTACCCTGAAATTGCAATGAATAGAGTGCCAAAAACAAGCAATATATTTCTGAAAGAAGCTGCTTCTGAAGTAACTTAATGTTTTAGTAGTTTTCAGTTAAATCAGGCAGAGGAAATTAACAATGGACTTCTGTGTTAATGGTCTGGAAAATGCTGTGCTTCCTGTGAAAATGAAGTATAAAGGTGATTTGATTTCTTTTTCAGTGATATTTTGGAAAAAAATGACCACAGCAGAACATTAATGATAATGATGAAGCGGCACAAAGGAGGAATGAAGAAGTTATAGATGCTTCATTAGGAAATCATATTTTTTTAAAAAAGAAAAAGTCTGGAGGAATGGTGCCATGAAAGATTCAGGACAAGTCCTTAGAAGTCCTGCATGAACTTTTACAAAGACAGCACAATATGAAGACTCACCATGCCCAACACAAAAGAAACCAAACTGATTCAAAAAAGGACATTTGTGTTAAAAAGACAATTATTTCAGTATTTATTTCCAAAAAAGTCTTCATATTTTGTGGTAAAGGCAGAATTTGGGAGGGACTCTGAGACAGAAAGGACTACACTGGACTGTATCCATGGCAAGAGACAAAGAAAGGTGTTTAGAAAGGACAAAGTGTCCAGTGCTGCTTGCTCAAGGAAATATTCAAAAGAGCAATGTTTGCCAATACAAGACGATCAAGCTGCAAATGGGACAGCTTTTATTTTTAACATCTCACACACCTTTTTAAGACAGGAGAGTCCTGAGGATGCTGTCACTACTAGGTAAGTCAGCAGCAGGTGGGTGGCTAAAATGAAACTGATGTTTTGCAGAGATGGGTTTAGTCCATCTCACCAAGTATGCCAGTTAAATACAAAGGTGAAGAAAAAAATCAGTTTTGGAAAACATAAAGTTTGTAGCAGTGGAAGGAAAAAAAATTAAATATTCTTTTTTAGTTAAAAAGTCACTGAACTTGTTAAAGGATAGAAACCATGAAAAATTATGGGAAACCTGACATTGAATTTACAAGCACAGGACAACTGCTTCAGACAGCTCCCAGGGGGAAAAAACCATCCAGCCTGCAGAGACTGAGGAGCAGCTGAAAGTACATGTGCTTTGGTAGAGTCATCAGAGGAAACAGGAGGGATGCTTACTGCTCATTTAAAAGCCCAGAACTGAAATGGAGTGATTTAGAACAGGAAAACTGTACCTGCAGATCCAAAAGATTGAACTGAGCACTTATGGATGTCTTTCTAGTAAAGGGTTTAATGCCAATAAATTTGTTGTGCTGGATCTTTCATTGAGGTTCTGATAAGCAGTAACTGCAGGTACTGTTTCCAAGTCTGCATTGGAAATGCTGTTTCTACAGGAAATTTAAATTTTGAGCAGCATAAAAGATACACTTGATAAAAATTTATTTTCATATCATATATATTGCAGAATATATAGGCTACATTTTCATCTGAAGGAAACAAACCAAAACAAGAGAATAAACAAAAACTTTGAAAAAATTTAGAATCAGGTGTAGGTCTAGAACTAAACAATTAAATCCTTGTGATATAAATTATTTACCAGACCAGTTACCTCAACAGTGTTTTCCACAGTAGTGAAGTTCTCAGAGTAATTTTCATTAGATGGAAAACCATCAAAACTGAAAATATTCTGAGATGGAAGAGCTATTGGCAATGCATGTGAAAGGAAAATTATGAAAGATAAAGAAAAATCAATTAACGGTCACTATAAGCTGGATGTAATATTAACAAGGAGAAGAAGGAATTTAGTGAGATAAAGAGTCTGTCAGTTAATGTATTCAGTGACATTTCCATACTAATTAAGGAAAAAAAGAAAGAAAGAAAATACCTGAAAATACCAGAAACGGTAGGTATAATTTTTGACATGGATATTGAAGTCTTTTAAAAGTCCCATTTTAATATTCACAGAATAAAAGAAGGAAAAGGTCACTCAGTTCTCATGCCAGTTCAGGCACAGACACTTACCAGGATTTTCAACATTTCTCTTCCTGTATAGATTCAAGTGCTTCAGGCAAAGAGAGTCTCACCACCTCTCTTTAGAAACTGCAGCTTCATATATCTTACTGTCAGAGAACATTTTCCAATATTCTCTTTAAATATTTTTTATCTTAATTTCATTCAATTTTTCATAATTATTACACCATTTACTACCATAAATAATTACTTTCTTTCAATTTGAGCAACCTCAATTAATGCAACTGTCCTTTCCTCTAATTTTGTCCTTTCCTCTAATTTGTCAACAGCTTTCTCATAAAATGATCTGTACAAATGAGCTCAATGCTGTGGACACAACACAGTGATCTGCCAACACCAACTGAATTCAAGCCAACTCCCAGGGGGTGTGGGAGCTGACTCTGAGGGGGTACTGAGACCTCTCCTAAATGCCCCTTTCCTTTTTCCTAACCTTGCTCAAAGTGGTCTGGATTAGTGTGTGAGAAGCATGGTGCTGAAAAACCACAGTGCTTTGGAGTGGTCTCTTGGTGGAGCACGACACAGACATGTCCTGGAGGTTTGGAGATAAACAGGTGGGACAGACTTGCATGAGACAGAAAGGCAATTCCACACTTTGACTGAGAATCTAAGAGATTCCAGAGCAATGTCTATGTGTGCTGTAGCTCTGCTTCCCAGGAAGAAGCTGAACATTGCTTGCTGATGGGAAATAGAGAGCAAACCTACTTATTTTTGTGTTATGTTAACAGCATTATCTCAACATGTAAATTTCTTTTCCATCTTATTTTCTCTCCCCTGTCCAAAAGGGATGGGGAGAGATAGAACAGCTTGGTGGGCACCTGGCATCCAGCCATGGTAACCTACCACACTGCTTTACCAACAGGACACCATTCCTGAAGAGCAAAAAAGAGAACCTTCCCACATTTTCCTGCTGACATTTTTCTCCTTTTGAATTAAAAAAAAAAAAAAACCAAAAAAAAAAAAAAAAAACAAACAAAACCAAAAAACCTCTGATTCCTGATTCTTCTAGCCTTCTTGGTTATTCTAGCTCTAGTCAAGAAAATAAGATAAATCCCACAAATTATATGATTTTGGAGTGTGCTTAGCTGAGGAATTAGTCTGCATTTTAGTTTTCATTATGAAGAAAGCACATCTTCAGTAAAAGAAAAAAAATATATTACAAATATCTAACAAAATTTAGAATAAATATCATCTCCCAGACTATAGGCAAGAGATTACAATTTAAGAGTTGCTTGAGTGCATGGTGAAGCAAGAGGCATCAGATGGAAACCTTTTATTTATAAAATGAGAGAAGTATTTCAGGAAATAGATAAAAAATATAAAAGAATAGGCAAGGGAAGAGTTAAAAAAGACAGAGGAAAACGTGTGTAAACCAAAGCAGAATAATCATCTAGAGGGTCACCAAGGCCACAATAATATATTTTAAAATAGCCTGCAGACACTGCATAAAAGGCACTCTAAGCATTCAAAACAAACTAAAAAGCATATTTCACAAAAAGAAGTCGAGTTTGAAAGCACAGGCTCTGGAGTTCCCTGTACCTCTGTGACTTTCTATTATCCAATGTTCAACTTTTTCCTCAGCTGTCATACCCATAATAATCTGCTGCCCAAAGCCTGGAGGATGTGAGTGAAAACAAAACACTCCCACTTCAGTTCACCAGACAGCATCACATTCCTACTAATGTTTTAACCCAGAGCATCCTCACAGTGAACCTGTGTAGTGTTCAAATTGCTTAATGCCATTACTTGGTCTGTGCAGGCATGGATAGCTAAGTGATTTCTCGTTGCCTCACACTCAAAAAATCTATTTGGCAGGCTTTTTGGAGTTTACATTCTAGCTGCTTTCCCTTCATTTTAAATTTTTAACAGACTTTTCTGTAACAACAAAAGTTACCTCAGTACTTGCAGACCTATGTTACTCGCAGCTAAAAGGAATGAGACCAGAAAGAGCTGGCAAACTTATCACAAAGCAAGAAAGCTAAAAAAAGGAGTAAAACCAATAAATATCAAACTAATATGAAGAGTAGAGAAACAAACCCAAAGAAATAATGTTATGGAGGGATAACCAGGCAGCTTAAACTTTATACCAACCTTATTTGGGGAAAAAACTTTTCTGTCAAAAAATATGTATAAACCTTTGCCCCAAATAAGGGACAAGAAAATTAATTTTAAAAAATGTAAAACTATGGGAAAAATTCCCAGGCAGTTTCCTTGGAAACAAAATTAAATCAGCAAATTCAGATTATATTAATATTAATACAAAAAAAATTAATTTGCATATTGGTTTCATTAAAAAGCATTTTTAAAAAAAGGTATAATTTCACTAGACAATAGGAACACGTATTACCATAATGCTTGATAAAACATGAAGGTATTATATATGTCAATTAATGCAACAGGCCACCAGATAATTTTGATTTTGATTGTGTACTTCTGCATAATAGAGACCTTTGTGATTAAAGAGGACTCCTTATTTACTTACACTTCATTGTATGCTTAGGTGTTTTGCTGGAGCAGGTCTCGGTTCCTCAGTTATTATCTTCATCTTCAGCTACTCATCCTTAAGAAAAAAGCAGTGCCTGTGTGAACCAGTGAGCCCCTGTGAGAACATCTGGTCAGCAGAGGGGATACAATAATTAGCCTATTGTAAGAGAATACCTGAATCCTCCCCATAAATAGTGAGTCATGGTTTTCTGCTGACTAGATACCAAGTTTTATAAAGATTCTTGGCCCAGACACCCAGATGTTGTTGGAGGCTAAAGGTCAATAACCTGCAAATATGTAAACAGTGAAATAATTTAAATATTTATGTCAGCAGCTAGCAAGTCAAGCAAACAATTTAATCTCAGCTAAGGAGATAACCATGCGTTAAATGCCTGCTTCACATCTCAGTCAATAGAGTGTAATTTCTCACTCAGAGGTTGCATTATCTGTTTTGAAATTGCTATCACACAACTTAAGCTTAAGGCTTAAAGCACTCAGTGGTTATGTTGAGTTATGGACTTGTGCAGGGCACATGTTTGTCAAGGACAACAACATGTATATTTTGTTTATCCTTTATTATTTTCTGCTTAGAGCCATAGATACAACTTTTTCTCATGGATTTCTCAAAAAAGATCAGGTTACTTAAAATGTCTACTGAAATAATGCATTGACAGGTTCTCAGGTCTATTTACTCTTTGCAATACTTTGTTTAACTACTTTATTTTGATTTCCCTGACAGCAAAACAGTATTTTGGCTCTGAAAAATGCAGTGAAACCTGTACAAGCTCCTTTTATTTTTGTTGACTTACACTGTGCTATCTATAAATATTTTAAAAGATGAAGTAGATGGATTACAGCCCACCCACTTTTTTTTTTTCCTTTCTCTCAGACACGTACACATTTAAAATTGCACGAATGTCTGTTGAGTGGGGCTTGAGAGTCCCCCGGATCTCTATTTCCTATTCAGAAGGAACAGGGAAAAGTCAGAAGCGAGCCTATCTGTGTAACCATGACAACAAGTACTTGTATATAATGCTTATCTGTATAGTATAGTTTCTGATTCCTTCAAGAGTTCATGCAGCCATAGGCTGAATTCTTTGGTAAGCTGTCTGAGCCGTGTCAAATGGTTCAGAGGAACCAGGTTACAATTGCTGGCCATTGTAAATACTGCTTGTACTGAACAATTATTGAGAAAATGGGCTAAATGGTGGAACAGAGATGGGGCTGGGTCTGGAAAGTGTGAGAGAGAAAAACAAAAGAGGTGTCAGTAATTTTCCAGTGATTAATATTTGGTGGATTGATTTGGAGTTAAGAGAGCTCTTCTGTTGCTATTCACATCAAATTAGTGCCTAGCAGATAATGTATATGGATTTTCAGAGAATTGGGATTTTGTACAGGTAGCAGACAGTGAGAAGCATTATGGCAGCTGAGTGTAAAAGGCTAGTTGATCAATAATTAAAAGAAACATATTGAGTTGAGGTTCGCATTAAGTTATTTAGGGAATGAAGAATTCTTGATGTTGCAACCGTGAATTCTTGGGTTTTGGTTTGTTTTTTTTTAATGAATTGTTTATTGTTTTGTGTAAGCAAGGATGAATTCTTGTAAGATTTTTGGAGCAATACATAAAATTACCATTTTTTGCAACCTCAGAGGTTATTCTGCCTTTAACATTGTTAAAACCTGTTGTTATTACTGAGAAAATATTATGCTCCTTTTACATATAGATATTTATTCTCAGGTAAACATTTATGTCATTGTAGAATCTACCATGTTCCCAATATCCTCACAGCTCCCTGGTCTGGTACTTAAGGAAATGGTTTTCAAAACTATGCCTACTTCAAATTTCAGGTGCTGGGATTTTTCAGCAGTTTCAGAAGTCTGCCCTCACACTTTCAGACTTTCGGAAATCTGCCCTCACACTTTCATACAAATGTCAAAGAATACACTACAATACAAAATTAGACTTTTCAGAATCAGCTTGTTGGTTTTTTATTCTTATTTTCCCCTTCTTTTCTTCATTTAAAAAGTTTAGCCCAATTAACTTTTGGCTCCTGGAGGATTTCTCTTGGTAAGAGCCATGGCCAGAAGGGTTTTGCCTTGCAGATTTTAAACAGAATAAAAAGACAGATAAAGAAATTAGATTTTCAATCTGCTTTAAGCAAGAAGAGATAAATATTGACACAAATAATGCAATATTTAAAGGTTCGAAGAAAGAACAAAATATAAAACTTTTGCATTCCTTCCTTTGTTTTATAGAGGCAGAATAAATATCTCAAAAGTGAATATTAAGTAATTACTCTAGAACTATTTTTTATCCTTTTGATAAGACAAAATATATTCTCTTGCTTTAATACATAAAGTATTCAAGAGGTTTCAAATTACTTTTCACTGAAGACCACACAAAGCTCTAATTTAGGAAAAAATTTATGTTTTCAGGGGAAAAAAGTCTGCTAGGCCACCAAAGAAGCTTCAGAAAGGACAAAGAGACACTATAGCACCTGAAGCAGATCGAATTTTTTTTTTCCTTTCAGAAAATGCAGTAATTAATGGAGAAAAATCTATTATTTATACATTATGCTAATTTTAACTTGGATAATATGTCACTCACTAGGCCATGCAATTTCTGAGCTTGAGCAAGAGGGTGAATTACATTTTTCTTGGCTCTCTAGAGATTCTTAACTTGATTTCCAATGTGGATACAAGGAAAGATGGCTAGATGGCAAAAAATCCATCAGCAGAATTGTTTTCTCTCTTTTTTCTTCTTCTCTGCCTGAAGATGTGTAATTCAGAGTTCTGAATGCAAGTCATCAGGGCAAGTGTGACCTCATTTCATTCATGAAGCTTTGGTACCATCAGATCGAACCTTCCCAGTCAAACATACCTATTCAAGTAATTATACTGCAACATCCTACTACTTTTCTTAAAAAGTTACAGATGCTGAATCTTTCTGTAGGAAGCAGCTGAAACTTTTAAAAGTGCTACAGTAGTTTTCAAAGAAATGAATACCACCAAAAATATAAAAAATAGAAGACTATTGGATGCAAACTGAGTGACTTCCACGTCAACTGAGATCATCTCAGGTATAGTAGAAAGGGATAGATCAGAACCCTGTTTTAAAATGTTAGGTTAGTGAGCAGAGAGTGAGAAAGCTGTCCATTCTACTCATCCACACTTTTGAGGCCAAACAAGTGAAATCACTCCTGGACAATCTCATGGAGGAAGTTAGTTTACTGTTTGCTTGCAAAGGCTGCTCGGTTTTGGTGATCTTTAGGATGCACAGAGCAACACAATGCTTCTGACCTTTGTTACCAAACCAGCAAGGATTCCCTCCACCTTGATCCCCCTTTCTGTGACTTTCCTCTGTACGTATTTCCCTTCTTCTTCCATTTTCTACTCTTGTCTTCATAATTATTCCTGCATATGAGCAGGCAAACTGTCTGCCTCTGTAATGCCTGAGAATGATGAGTCAAAGAAGGGGCAACCAGACCAGCCAAAAAATGCCTTAGACAAAAGAAGTGCACCAGGTCCTGGGGGAATAGCTGTGAGAGGCAACTTGTCAGTTCTAAGTATCTACCTGTGACTGATAAATGATCTTAAAATCTGATGTTTAGAGACAAGTTTTTCTTATGATTTATTATACTACCTACACTTCTCTTTCTGGTTGTCTATTTTGTCAAAATTAGAAAAGTAACTGCTGTGCTCACAGTTGTTTCAGGGTTAAAATTAACCTCTTCTTTCCTGCTCATATGGGTTGCTTAGGAAAGATAGAACTTTATCAAGTAACCTCTCTGAAGCAAACAGGCTTGAATTTGCTTTGCATAATTCTACATTTCCTTTTTTATCTCTTTTGTTTTTTTGTGATGCACATTATTTTTTTCAATTTTGGACTTGGGCTTCTTTTGCTTATATTTTCCATAGCTGTAAGTAAAGAAGCCCCAAACTAAAATCTTGAACCAATTTTAACTGCTTAATATTACATAGCAAAAAAACTATTATTACTTTTGACTTTCTGGGTCCATTTAGTTCTCCTGACTTAAAAAGTATCATCTTGCCAGCCTTGAATAAGTTCAAGGCTTACAAAACATCCTCAGGAACAATTACTACAATTTTGGTTTGAGTAAAAATTATTTTCATATTCCAACTGCCAGTTATATTAAGGCAAGATTTGGCATTTTGAGTTGTAATCAGATGAAGCCAAAGGTAATCCAACACAGATAGCTCACCATGGTCAACAGAACTGTGTATTTGGTTGTAGTAAAAATGCTGAAATGTGCAAGGGGTTCTGTTTATGCATTTTACTATAAAACATGAGTTTGCTCACCTGTAGCTAGTTTTTATCTTCTTTAGCCACCAGGCTAAATGTCTCACTCTGATGGATTCTTACTTTAAGAATATAGGATGAATTATGTATTGGCTGCATAACCTTAAAGTGAGCTCAGAGTCCTCTCAATATCTACCTTTTGATTACCCTGCTATTTTCCTGACTTCTGACCAGCTTTTCCCACACCATGCTGATCCGTACCCAGCTGTCAGAATAAGAGCTTACCCACCTGTCAGCTGTATTTGATTTGCCTATGAATTTTTCTATTTCATGAACATGATCCTCTATAAGGGAAGTCTGGCAGAAGACATTAAATTCTAGGAATCTGTGGTCTTGAGCAAGCCATGTCTGCTTTACTAGGCCCTGTACTTAGCCCTTGACAAGCCTATATGTTAGCATGAGTGACCACAGTAAAATCCCGTATGTATATAAGCATAAAAAATGTGGTGGAATGTGCTGGAATGCCCTGGATTCATGCCATTCCTGGGTACAGCTGCTAGATATGCTCTGGTGGGCATGAAGAGATAAACTCCCTCTGTCTCCAGACATGCAGCTGATATATAGCTGTGTTTGCTGCATTAACGAGCAGAGGTATGGGAGGGAGGGTGAGCCTTTCCACAGCCACGCTCTAGCTGTCCGCTAGTGCAGCACAAAAGTCTTGTTCCAGCATCTAGAAGGATGTAAGGTTCAGTTTCTGTGTATAATTCCCCTCCTCTTGAATCTCATTACTGAAGCAATTTTACTATGTTGTTTCTTGCCTGCTACAAAGCAGTTCTGGATGCTAGGTTTACACCGGGGTGTTCTGG